CACACCTCCTACCCATCACATTCCACCTGGCCCCACATACACAGACCTCCTGAGCTCTGTCTTGATGGTAGCAGCTAAGTTTCACAGGCTCACTTTAAATTCCACATTGGTAGCACTGTGTTACCTTAGTGTCATCAGTCATGTTCATTCCTGTCTGGCAAAAAAGTGGAGGAAGTGTTCTCGAGTGTTTCTGCGTGTGTGTGCATTGCTGTGGATGATCAAAACATCCTGCAAGGTCAAACGAAAATGTGAAATGTGTGGGTGAGAAAAAGATGTATTGTTGGCGCAGTGTGTTGTTAAGTTTGTCATTGATGCTACTTTCTAGGTCAGACGTCTAGTGAGAGGGGAGATTTGAGCTCTCAGTGGGGCTACCTGCAACTAGCTTAAGGTTATAAAAATAAAAGAGTGAGGGCAGGAGAGTGAATGTGAGTGAGAGAGCTGTCTTTGTTGCTTACCTTGAACGTGAGACTGAAGACAGTTTTCGCATGTGGAACCATTTTCCCCAGCCTTAATGACTGCTAATTTCATGGCAAATAAACTAAACAATGATGTCTTTGAGTCTCGCTTCATTTATAGAGCAATGCTACAAGACAAAATCACATTCTTTTCCAGTTAAAGTGCAGCTTAAATGTTCCTTTCTTATCTACCAATCGACCTGTGAGTGCACTCAGCCGGATTTAGTTTTGTGGACCAGTGCATAAATATATATATGTGTGTGTTTTGCAACATAGGCCAGCATTGTTGTCTCACTGCAGGAATGTACTCGGTTCAAAGTCACCATCTGGCCAGAGCCTTTCTGTGTGAGTTTGCATGTTCTCTCCATGTTTGTGTGGGTTCTTACTTCAGCTTCCACCTACAGTCCAAAGACGTGCAGTTAGTGAGGTTAGGTTAATTGATGATTCTAAATACCCATCTGTGTGAATATGAGTACAAATGGCTGTCTGTCTCCCAGTGTTAGCCCTGCAACAGACCGGTCCAGGGTGTACCCCGCCTCCCACCTTGTGGCAGCTGGGATAGGCTTGTGAGATGATGGAGGGATGGCTGGATGTTCAACTTTGAATTTCATGGTTGTTGGCCTGAATATTTCAGAAACTGCTGTTCTATTGTGATTTTCCCACACAAGGAAGTCAAGGGTTTACAGAGAATGGTATAAAAAACAGAAAACATCCAGTGATCATCGATTGAGAAGAATAGTCAAACTGCTTTAAGCTGACAGGACCAAAGGACAGGAGAGAAGAGGGTGTCTGAAAGCGCATCACACTGAACCTCGAAGCAGATGGGCGGCAGCAGCAAAAGACTGCATTGGGTGCTACTTCTGAGAACAGGCAATCGAGGCTACAGTTCATATGGGCTCTCCAAAATGAGACAATAGAAACATTGGACTGACGAGTCTCTTCTGCTCTGACATTTGGAAGGTAGGGTTGGAATTTAAACACCACGAAAGCATGAATTTATCCTGCCATGTACGACAGTTCAGGCCACTGCTTGGTGGTGTGTTAGTGTGAGGAAATTTTGTTGGTGCTCTTTGGGCCGCTTAGTACCAACTGAGCTGACCATGTCTCTTTATAACCACAACGTACCGATCATCTGATGGCTGCTTCCAGCAGGATAATGCATTGCCTTACAGCTCTAATCATTTCAAACGGTTTGCTTAAACATGGAAATTGAGTTCTCTTAAATCGGCCTGCGCAGTAACCAGATCGCAACACAACAGAGCAACTTTGGTGTTACCACATTTGGTCTTTAATGCTACCATAAAGAAAGGAAAACTCAGCGGTGGCATTTTAATACATGAATTTAATATTAAGTGCATCAAACACATCATGAAATAAATTCTGATTGTACAATATAGTGCCGACAGAGTAATAACAGGATAATAACTTCCCCAGTGTTGTTTCCTATAAATCTGCTTTCACTGCACATTTCTTTCTGCCACCAGTTACTGACTCCCCCAGGAAAGTTAACTGTAACTTAACTCTTACTTACTTATGAACATCTAACGTAACTGTAGATCTATACTGAGAACATGGAAATTATCTATTGCAAGTTTTAATATAAGGTAAATGTATTTTGATGGGTTAAAAGTTTTCCATTTCTGTTACTGTGAAGCTGTTATTGCGTACCAAAATGCTTTTACGGTTTACTAAACAAGAATCGGTGTGTGCGTGTTTTACTCTCACAAATGGTGCAACTGTGACCAATAAAGAAAACCTGATGGTTAAAGATAGATGGTAAGTTTTTTCCAAACCTTTTTAGCTATCCAAGTTTAGGTTGAAATACATCTTACATCATAGCTGACTTTTCAACACTCATCCTCATGTCTGTTGATGTGTGCTTTGCTACAATAATGTGTGCAGGAATGATCAAATACGTGAGACATCAGAGTTCAAACAGCACACAAAAATGTATTTACATAACCAAGGACACTTTCAGAAAATGACAAGAAAGAACCACAAACACGTTGTAACCTCCACTCCCTTCAACCACCCTGATAAATGCTATTGAATGTTGTGATACCGTGACCTACACAGGCATTTTCCCCCCATGATTGCACATCATGGGTGAACTTGTCAAAACAGCTCTGAGACAACTCTTAACAACCAGGGCCTTCCCGTCAACCATTAATCCAACAATTAGAGAAAAGGCCAGAGAGATGAGCAGATGCTCCATAAATGGGAAAGGCTGAGGGAGTCCTGGCCATCAAAGGTATTCCTAATCTCTCTAAGGAGGATGACCAAGGAGAGTAAGAGAACAGCCGTCCTCCTGTAGTACAGACGGATTTCAAATAGTCTACTGATAATTCATGTGGCTAAATTTAATCTGAACGGGCTGCCAAAAATAGTTGAGATTGCCTGTAAGAGGGTCACTTTGAATCTAGTAAAGTGCTTATTTAATCAACAAACTCTCTCACCCTTCTATTATTAAAACTGGAGGATCTACGGTAACCAACAATACAATAAGCATGTGTACCTGCTCATTAGAAGAAGGGTGATTCACGATTTTGGAAGATTTGGTGGGACTGAATATGGCAGTGCTGTGTTACTGAAATAACAAAAAAGAGCAGGAGACCTGAGCAATCAAGACCTTCTGCAACTTTGCCTGTAAAAACCATCCATTCTCTTCCACTTATCCTTATCAGGGTCACAGGGGGCTGGCCCAGCAAGATTGCGAAAGGCAGCTTCGCTATTCTGACATAAGGCTAACACAGAGAGACAGATGACCATTCACACTCATATTCACACCTATGGCCAATTTAGACACGTTTCTAAACTGTGGGAGGAAGCCGGAGTCCCCAGTGAAAAATCTGTGGAGGACGTGCAAACGCCACACAGAAACACCCCTGCCAGATGTTGGCAGTCAAACTCAGGACCTTCTTGCTGTGACATAGTGATGCTAACCGCCATGCTACTGCACTGCAAAAACCTTATCTGATTTAAATTTAGCTTTGTACTTTGCATACTGTGCACAACATGTACACGCTGGATTGGGCTCTTTCTTTGCTCATTGTATTTTCTCAGGTATGGGAAGCGATGTCCTGAAAGTTATGTGGCTGCTGATCCTCTCAAGCAGCCACATAACGACTTGCTTGCTAAATCCTGTCTACATACCCATAGGTATATATTTAAGTTAGCTTTAGGATGAACTCAAGCCAAACTCAGGCCAACAAACACATCAAAGGAACACAGCCATGGTAGATTAAGTAAAATAAATTGAAATACAGCAAACTACCTCCTTGCCTAGGAGCAAACAGTGTCAAAAGAAATGGGAACCCACCCCTAAAAACACTGTGGCTAGCAAGCAAGGTACATGGTAATGGCTACAAACTCACATATTGACTTCTGCTGCATCTGGTTCAACTGGAAAGAGCCTTTGGGACAGAACAAAGGAACTGGTCATTACCTCATCAAACACTAACAAAACTAAAGAACCACATGTTTGTGGAGAGCAAGATAACCGAACAGGTTCCACACACAAAAAAAGTTAGCTTTGATGAACACAGTGTGGATATCTGTGACTGCTCCACATAATGACGCCACATCACACGGAAAACTGTTACACAAAAATATACAGAACGCTGCTCTTATACAAAAGCATAATCTAACTTACCTAAGTGTTATTTGCCCTTTTACTTGGCTAGTGTTGGGATTGCAAGGAAAGAATGTATCACACAACACTTTGTGGGTGTTGCGTTAGCAGCAGTGGATAGCTGCTTCTGGCCTGGTACAAACCAGTTAACCTGAACACTGGATTTTCAAAGTATCCAAAGTGAAGCTATAGTGCTTACTAGGAATAGCACATACAGATGGGGTCACACAGGAAGCAACTTGCTCAGTGTATATCACTGTAGCTGATGGTTGGTAATTAGTGGACACCACTTGCGTAGATAAACATCTGATGAACATACTGTATCACCCTGCCATATGTCAATCAGTGGCATCCTGCTGTTGCTCACTGTGTTAACTGTTCATGGCAGGCCAAAATGACTGACACTGGGAAATGTCCTGGTTCTCTGGACAGGCAGTCCACCACTGGTCACTTTGGTGAAAGTGTTACTAAACAGACTTTTGGAGTTGTTGGGTGCTTATCTATTGCTCTAGTGAGACAGCTACCAGCTAGTTTTTTTCCTCACAAAAATAGTGTGTAGCTTTCTAAAAAAAATAATGTGAATTTTACGTATTGTCTTTCCCAGCTAGCAACATTAGCACTGTGCGCTCTGCACTGAAGTTGTTATTAATCTCTGGCTCTCTTCCACAGCATGTCTTTTAAGCTGTCGTCCTTCTCTCTCCCCAACCGGTCGTCGCAGATGGCCCCGCCCCTCCCTGAACCTGGTTCTGCCAGAGGTTTCTTCCTGTTAAAAGGGAGTTTTTCCTTCCCACTGTCGCCAAAGTGCTTGCTCATAGGGGGTCATATAATTGTTGGGTTTTTCTCTGTATGTATTATTATAGGGTCTACCTTACAATATAAAGTGCCTTGAGGCGACTGATGTTGTGATTTGGCGCTCTATAAATAAAACTGAATTGACTTGAATAGTTAATCCATTTTAAACAAAGCACTGGTTAGTACATATCCACCAAGAGTTTTGGAGACGTACAACATGTTCTTTTGTCCTAATGATGACACACTTTGTCTGTGGTAAGACTGAGAGCCTCTCTTTATACTTCGTCATATAAACATAATGTATGACATAAAATACAAAACAGTTCTCCACAGTTCAAACAATGCGGTCAATGCAATTTCAGAATCATGATCGGTAATTTTGCACTGGCAGATCAACACACATGCCAACACAAATGTTTGTGCACTCCAAAAACAAAAAAACCCTTCCAGCCATCCATTCACCCCGGTTTACAATGAGCCAAGTTCAGGCTGTGTGTCCTTACCTCATTATCACCTGTCCCTCAAGCACTGTGGGCGGAGCTCTGATAGCTTCTCTCCTGAAATAGAAAACACAATCAAAGACGAAATCTATGCTACGTTCAGTCACACAGTAAGACTTAAATTTGAATTTGTTTGAAATATTATACATATTCTTGATTTTTTTGTCATTTAATGCTCTTTAATCACTTAAACAGTTATTTTACCTCTTTAACCAATTGTTGCTTCTGCGCCCGCCACTCTAGAAGCCAGCTTTTAGAAGGGCATCTAGCTAAGCGAAGACAAACCTATGTTGGTCCCTAAACTATCATCAAGTCTATTCCTGCTTTTCAGTGGGACAGCAGTTCTCCAAGGAGTGCTGAAAACCGGATTGTTTTACACACACCTGTTTCAAAATGTCACTCAGCTACACGCTTGTCTCAGAGGGAGCGCAGTTAATCGCTGATTTGGCACACTTACAGTGACAACATACCAAGGTCCAGTTTCAGGAACTCAGTCGCACACTCACAAAACAAACTGTCATTCTTACAGTCTCCCACACGCATGTAGTGTTTCAGACTTGGATGCACACAGATAAACGCACACACACAATTCAAAAACTTTTGCAGAAACATGTACATTATGCTCATGTCACAGGCACACAGCGTATGTAACAGACACTGAGACCTCATGATGAGACAAACAGTCCCTCTGCTCCGCAGACATCTTTGATTTTCCTCCCAATGTTGACTCACAGTCAAACTGTGCGAAACACATAAGGCTGCGTTTTCAAAGCCAGCCTGAAACGTGCAATTATTTTCAGTTGCCTGCAAAAAAAAAAGGAAAAAAAAAGACCCACAGTTTGTATATACTGGAACGCTTTGTGAAGCTTTGTGGCTTTGACTGAATGGGAAACAATTAAAGAACTTTTTGGCAGCACATGAAGCCAGACAGCGATAAAAATGGCCAAGCTTTTCAGCACGGGCGAGGCCTCTCAGTTTGGCCTGTCAGGAGGTCTGAGAATCTTCCAGAAAACTTTCCTCCTGGTCTCCCTGGGTTTCATTATTTAGGGACAAAAATACAAAAGTTCTGCTGCTGTACTCATTTCACGTTTGTTAAATATTAGTTATCAGAGCTAATTTACGTGAAAGGCATTAATCATGCTGTAGCTAGCCACTGTAACATTGTAACTGCATGACTTATTATGCTATTTTCATTCATGTGTCTTTTAGAGACTCCCAGTGGTCTCCTTCAAATCTTGAGGCAAGTGAACTAATCTGACTGTCGTATTGAATATTTTCTGTGCAGTGATTAATCTCTTTTTGGGAAGGTTTCACAGGCAAGGTTCAAACCTAGTTGCAAAGACTTGTCTTAAAATAGCTCTAGATTTAGCCTGTTCTGGATTAAACAGATCCAGTCTCAAGATGGGGGCTAGAAGCTACTCTGGGCCTACGCCAAGGCTTTAATTAATCCTTCAAGGTGGTAGCTTCAACTTCAGCTTTGCAAATTTGTGAGGGCTCATTGACAACCCTGGGTATTTAAATGAGCATTGACATGCACTGCAAAGACCTGCCTCATGACTGCTCTAGTTGTTGAAAGGACGATTCTATTGAAATTTTTGACAACATAAACTTTTCAACATTTTCTAACATCTGGAATCCATCATAATGAAACTGGTTTTATGTGTTGCCAGAAAAACAGCTGTGTGCAGAATTGTCTAATAGTCTGCAGGGTCCTTTTTTAATGCAAAGTTTTAGAGAAAGATGGTTCCAGCTTCTTCTTCTGAGGAAGATGAAAAGCTAAATCTCAGCTGACGGAGAGCATGATTGTGTGTTTTTGTTTTGGAAAAATCCGTGTTTTTAATGCGCTGCCACTCAGTGCATTTTTACGAGCGCGTTTGTTGCAACAGTAGAACTCTGGTTTGATAAACTGACCCTCGAGTACAAATTCATGTGTTTGTCGCCTTCCTAACTAGTGCGCCTTCTTTTTCCTCAGAGACTATGGGCTCTTTTAATGTGAAGATTTCAGTTTGGTAGCTGTGTCATAGCTGTACAACCAACTCGTAACACCAGTGATGATGCTCGAAATCAAGGTTGGGGCATCCCCGTGCCTGATGACGCTGCTGTTCCTTTGAAGTCAGGAGCCACGGCACAAAGAATCAACCAAGTGACACATTCACAATGTCAGCAGTTTCCATGGCAGTGAACCAACAATCCCGAGGCGCACTTCCCTCAAATTCTTGAAAAGTTTCAAGGGTTTGTCACCATGGTAGATTGCCCTGATGTCGGGTAACTTTCTGCCTCCTTTGAAATAGGAAACCTGCAAAAACATGTGATTGGGCTAAATGATTTATTTATCATAGGGCTTTAGTAACATTTCAAAGTTCTCCTCAGTAGATTTTGCTCGCTGCTCTGTGCAGCCATATTTGATAGCAAGGCAATTGCAGAGCTTGCCTGGTGAGAGGCAACCTGTCACAGCCATTTCAAACTGACCACGACTGGTCTCAGACCAGTGGGAAAAGGTTTATAAGTAATTGTCTAATTTATAAACGGAGAAAGACTGCCAACTCGTTACAGTCTGAGTCAGTCTGTGCCAATGAGTGCAACTTTTCTGTGCAACAGTGGACTGAATTCAGCTGGTTGCCAAATGATTCTATTCTGTTTATATATCCATATAACAGAAAGCTTGCCAAGTGCCTATGCCATTTTGCAGTTAACTTGCCATCAAACAGTAACTACATCACTATTTTCACATTTATGAAGTTCTGGCGAGATTCTGAATGTCTTGCCAGAACATTCACAGAAAAATAAATTGTATGTAGACGGCAACAGATTTTGCCGTTCGTCACCATATTGTTGCAGACAGATTACTTGTAATTGACCAATATGACCGTTTTTAATCACAAACTAATAGACATGTAGTAGACTGACTGTCTTATTGTTGCTTTATCTTCTTGAGTGACCAAAGTTGAAGGTGAGGTCCAGAGACCTGGACCTCACCTTCAAAGCAGCCATTTGAAAGACAAAGAACTGGCAAGTTCATTGCACTTTTGATCTTGTTGTTGTCTCCAACCACTGTTTCCCCTAATGTGACGGCAGCACTTATCAGACTCACAGATTAAACAGTCTCAGGGAACAAAACGTAAATGATGCCCAAACTGGAAGTCCACAGATGCAGTTCTTTAATGCAGTTTTTTCCTGAAGCAACTGTTTCTCATCATTTTACACTTGATAACATGTGCACTGTTTTACATGAAAAGATACAGATGTGTAGCTGGATGATTAGAAGACTCACCACTTCTGCTTTAGAGAAGTGAAACAAGTATCCATCCCTTTATATCTGCTTTGCAGTTACCCCTCCTCGACTCCAGCTCCTCCTGTGCTGAGAGGTGGATTAAAGGTCTAACAGGAGCCTAAAGTGGGAGTGTAAGTTTGATGAACTGCAGCTGAGACTGTAGTTAGCTGAGAGCAGGGAGGAGAAACCGAAGGGAAAAGGAGAAGGAGAAGAAGGGGAAATGGGAAGTCAACAGGAGGAGGAGGAGAAAAGTGGGGGTAGAGGGTGTGTGCGTAAGTGTGTGTGTCTGGGGGATGGCGTGGAGTGGAAAGCGTCCAGTAGCACAAACACCTCTGAAACAGAAACATCCATTTAGCAGCAAAAACAAGCCCCCCTCACAAGACCTCCATGAATGGGCCACTTCAGCAGGCCGAGGAAGTTCCAACGAGGGGCAGGATGTTCCCCTCAGGACGCACTTGAGACGGGCTGAGGGCCAAAAGCCTGAATACATAGACCCCTCTCTCTCCCTCTGTCACTGTCCAGCTTTGCCCTCCCACCCTGGCCGTGCCTTCAGTACCCCTCTGAAAAAAATCTTCCCCTCCTACCAGCCATTTACTGAGCTGCAGCCAGTGAGGCGGCGAGGGAGGGCGTGGAACCATGCTCAGCAAACAAAGACAGAGAGGCAAAGACTTTACTTGATTAAAGAGCAGTTAAGATGCTATGAGAGGCTAATTTGTTCACTGTGTGACAGAATCAACAGGAACTGGGGCAACAAAATCTCTGCTCACTGCATTTCCTGTTGCACTTTAAAGGTGTTATTCAAATTCTCAGCATCTTTAGTTTCCCTCTCTGCATGCTGTACACATACCATGTCATGATAATATACACATTTTACTGAAGAAAATAATTAATTATTGTAATTAAATTGTAATAACACATCTTCACATTAAGCTGATTTACATACCTGCATGTACTGGTTTTGGACCTTTAAGTTTAGCCCCTACCTTGGAGGAGACGAGGTCATAATATACAAAGAATTTCTTTGTCATAAAGCTAACTGGACGCACTCTATTACAAATTAAACATCACCACAATAACCAGTGCGGTCACTGTCTTTGCTCGGCATCCTTGGTTTGCTGACTCGGCTTGTTAATCAATCAGCATTTGACTTTCACACAGCGCCATTGTTGCTGGACAACGGAAGTGTGTCTCTGTGTTGGTCGAATTCCCATAATCCTCCTCTGTACATATAAGAGCCTCTTTATGCAGAGTGGCATAAACGCTCGGTCTCTTATTTCTCTTCAAGCTCCTTTAAATAAGATAATAACACAGTAATGTGTCCACTTGTCGATGGAGATATTTGGGAATCGAAGGAAACAATACCATCCAGTAATGACAGTTATCTGTAGTTGCTTTTTACTTGACTGAAAACCGTGTTTAGGTATTGCTAAAGACAGTATGGCAGCACGCTGGTGCAATGGTTAGCACTGTTGCAGCACATGCAGTTAGTGAGGTTAGGTTAATTAGTTAATCTAAATTGCCCGCAGATATGAATGTGAGTGAGAATGGTTGTCTGCTTCTATGTGTTGGCTCTACGACAGACTGGTGACCTGTCCAGGGTGTACCCTGCCTCTCGACCTATGGTACCTGTGATAGGCTACAGACCCTCCAATTGGATAAATGGAAGAGGATGGATGCATGGATATTTATTTTTAGCCATGCTTGTGACACGGCCTGAAGGGTTGGCCCTACAAACTGAGTATATCTAATGCTGAAGTCTTTGTTGACCAATTTTCCTCTGCATGCAAAAACAAGTATATTTGTGTAGAAATCAGTGACAAAAATGACAAAAAATGTTGGCTTTTCATGTTTGTAACACATTTTTGTTTTCATGATCTCATAATAAAAAATAGCATGATAGTCATTTTGTAAATTATGTTTCCTTTTAGAGTAAAATCAGCTTGGCTACCCCATGATGGCTACCTCATCGTTGATAAGTTGCCATCAAATTGACCCCGTGAGCATCGTTTAAATGCCACAGTTTAAATGAGCATCGCTTACAGTGTCCTTTACACCACAGTGTTATCCTGACATAAGGTACCATGTCACAAACCTCAAATTACCTTAAACTGGTTTCTCAAGCATGACAATGACTTCGCTGAATGCAACTGGCCTTCGCAGTGATCCGGTCTCAGTCCACCTTTGGGATGTGGTAGAAAACAAGATTTATATCATGGACGTAAACCGACAAGTCTGCAAAATTTGTCAGGAATGTTTCTGAAGGGCAGCACGGTGGCACGGTGGCTAGCACAGTTGCTGCACAGCAAGAAGGTCCTGAGTTCAATTCCCCCATCAGGCCGGGGTCTTTCTGTGTGGAGTTTGCATGTTCTCCCCGTGTTTGCGTGGGTTCTCTCCGGGTACTCCGGCTTCCTCCCACCGTCCAAAGACATGCAGCTTGTGGGGATAGGTTAATTGGATAATCCAAATTGTCACTAGGTGTGAATGTGCGAGTGAATGTGAGTGTGAATGGTTGTCTGTCCCTGTGTGTTGGCCCTGCGACAGACTGGCGACCTGTCCAGGGTGTACCCCGCCTTTCGCCCTATGACAGCTGGGATAGGCTCCAGCGCCCCCCGCGACCCTGAAAAGGATAAGCGGAAGCGAATGGATGGATGGATGTTTCTGAAGGCAAAATAAGGCTGAACTGGGTACTAGTGACATGGATGTAGTAAAGTCTCCAGTGAGTGTGTTTCTTTGCAGCAACTTCTTTGTCTTTGTTAAAGTCTTGCATTTCATCCCTCAGTTATGTAAGTTTGCGTAGAAGGAAAAAGTCCCGCAATCTGCGTCTGTACTGACAACGTTCAGACGAAACAACCTGAGACAGCGGGCAAACAAACATGCTGACATTTGTACTTTTGTGGTATTTTAGCTCCATTTCATTGACATACACTTCCAAACTTCTACCATGAATCATAAAATCTGTCTGGGGTTTTTTTAATGTTTGACTCGTTTTTTGCCACAGGAACAGTTTGTTTTTGCAAATTCATACTCTTAGCGACAGACACACTGCTGACAGCAAACGCTATTATATTGTTTATTGAAAACGTTTTTTTTTTTTTGGACAGCATAGTTTGTCAGGCACAGAGACACAGAGAGAGAGAGAAACTGAGAGAGAGAGACATAAAGAGAGAGTTGTGGAAAGTTGTTTTGTTTGCTCAGAGGGGGTGTGATGGTGGAATGTTACAGAGGATTCACCATGAGCAGAACAGGTACGTTACAACAAAAGCTATGAATTACACACACGCTAAAAAAAAATCAAATAATGCCAAATGGTTAGTTCCACCTTTCTATGTTAGAAACATGAATACAGAGGGAGGAAAAATAAATAGTGTGATTGTGAAAAAAAAATAAAATCTGAGGATAACTTTTGCAAAAAAACACAAAACCCCCGACAAACAAACCCTGCAGAATGCAAAATGACGGAAATAAAACAAATGCATGAAAACGATACTTACAAAACAGCTCTACTCGTGCATACTTAAGCAACGTAAAAGCGCATTTCAAACTATAAATTATGCTGGACTAAGTCATCGCGAGGTTAGAACTATATGAAGCGTAGAGAAAAATGAAAATAGTGCGGAGCTGCTTGACAATTTACTGAAAAAAAACAATCCACGTGAGAAAGGACGTGAATGTTTGGGTGTAGTTGTGCAATATAGGGAAGGAAAGACGTAAGATGACACCCCTCCCCCTCCCCTCCTGATCGGAAACGGGAGAATAAATAAATAAATCCGAGCAGTGACCGCAAGCGTTTAAAGGTCAACGTGTGACTGTAAGTACAGTAAGAGTCTCTCCCTGCTGAGGCTGTGGGGGTTGTTCAGTTTAGTAGCAAAGCAACCATATTCACTCAAATATATGTGTTGTTTTTAATGTGTCGCAGATACTTCTGCACAATAATACGGAAACGTCTCCACTAAAACTCCCGATTCCGATTTTATTTGAATTGTGAAACACCGTCACATTTTATAGAAGATTTATTATCTTTGATAGATGTGTTTGACAGGTTGCTGAAATCACATGACTCAAAATCAAAACCGTGGAAACGAGGTCCTGGTTATTGCCAAAAATGGGACACGTCTTAAAAACAACACATTCATTTTAAGAGTGATGAAACAGAGAGAGGCCATCAGTGTCAAGAGTAAAAAGCTCGACATGGACACAGAAATAACATAAAAAATAAAAGATAAACTATGCCAGGAGCAAATCCTGATGGGGAGCATCAGCATCTAGTACAATTACTACTCTACATCATCATCTTCTTCTTCTTCTTCTGGCTCTTTAATGAATAACAACACTGAAAAACTGAAATAGTTAAGAATAAAAATACTCTCACCATAGGGAAAGCTTTTACCCAGCATGGAAGAATAAATACAACAAAACATCATCTGTTTCATTAGATCCATCCAACCTTTTACCGAAGTGCCTTTTTTTGTTTGTTTTGTTCACTTGGGAAAGAAAAGAAATAAAAAAATCAGGCTAATAGTTGCCCGCTTCTAGTGAGAACTTTATTTTGGTAATTATACATTCAAAATGTGATCAAAATGAACCAATGTCCTAAATTATTTCCAGGCACTTTACAGATTTGGGCCAAAAACTGTTCTGAAAACAGAAATAACTACGACTTTGTGTGGCTGCTCACTATGCAAAGGCCTTGTTTCAGTGCTCTACCAGTGAAGCAATCAATTAAAATATGAATTGTCACACTTTAAAGTACTTCAGGTGAGGTGAGGGATGACCACATGTTTAAAGTCATCTCACACACTGAAGCGAGGCCTTTGCAGAGCGGCGTGTCTGCACCTTTTCCATTTAGCAGCGAGTAAAATGTGTTAGTGAACCCTTCAATTGAACGTCGCTTTCCCTTTTGTGACTTTTCTGAAAACAGATTCTGAAAACATTTCAACGCTTTTGCTTTTTGGGGGAGGGAGGAGTCAGCTAGACAGATGACTGCATTAAAAAAAAGAAAGAAAAACAAAAACAAAACAAAAAGATGGATCCATCCATCTTGGAAATCCCATGATCCTTCCCTGCACGTGTAAACCTCTGTCCGCCTACATTCACCAGTGCAGTATTTGGTTCAGAGATATGAAGAATTTGATAAAATAGACTTTTAAGACTAATTTGGCACTTTTCTCAACAAATGGAAATTGAAGAAGGACCCACCACAGAGTCTCATTCAACAAACCAATATTTATATATATATATATATATATACTGTATATATAGTTTCTTTTGTTGCCGTGTGATCTGTAAGTCGCACAGCATGCCTTCATTTCAGTATTAATACTACAGAGCAGCGATAAAATCTCAAGCGTTTGGGCAGAGTGTTTTTCCCTCACACTCAAGCACAAAAGGACAACAGCTTTACATTTCTGCCTTCAAGCTGATCTTTTCATCCGTGAAAGTGTACACAGGCGCTCAGAGTTTTGAGACTGAACGCAGCTTGTTAGCGCTGACCCTGTGACCTTTACGAGTTAAGCAATTGAAGCCTTCAGAAGCATGTTTAAAAAAAAAAATCCCCCTATAATTACGTTAAATCTTTTCAAACAACACCAGCTACAGGTGATGCAACTTGAATTCCTCTTTTTGGTCATTTTAGACTACGAAACAAGTGACATTTAACAATTACACATGAAGAAGCCCATTTCTAACCCTCATCGTAGCTGCTAATCTCAACCCTAACCCTCTACAGAAAACTGTCAATACAGGCTAACACCTTCATGTTTGCAGGTGAGATGTTACTCTGACACCAGCCTTTGTGGTCAGATGTAAAAAATGACTATAATGCCAAAACTTGGAAGAACAATTGATCCAGACGGCTGCCCCTCCCTCAGCCTGGATCTAGCAGAAGTCTTCCTGTTAAAAGGGAGTTTGTCCTTCCCGCTGTCGCCAAGTGCTCGCTCTGATTGTTGGGGTTTTCTCTGTATTATTGTAGTTTCTTCACCTTACAATATAAAGCGCCTCGAGAAGACTGTTGTGATTTGGTGATTACATAAATTGAACTGAAATAATAGAAGCAAACACATTAATCTTTTCATGGCCTGAACAGTAAAACAGTTCAAACAGGAGGATTTTTTTCCCTTACAAGGGGTCTGAAGGCTTCTTATGATTCACAGCTAGTCATTGTTGTTGATGTTCAATATGTGTTTAAGTACTAGAAGGTCTCCCCGGTACGCATCTCCTGCTTTTTCTTGCCCAGCAAGAGTTAATCGTCGCTTTGATACGGCAAACGCTAACTTTTCTAAACCAGAACTCAGAACTCATTGGAAACATCCGGCTCTCCTCAGCAGGAGCCTTCAGCCTTCATGAGTCCTCCTCCGGCAGTCAAATCGCACTCTCTCGCTCTCAAAACAAAACAAAACAAATCATCTTCGTGTCATACATTCTAAACTGTAAACAAACCAATAAAAAGATGGATCAGAAACCAGAGGAGTCTGCCAGTTGTGAAAATAATATCGCAGTTTGGTTGTAAAATAAGTTACAAAAACAAAAGGAAAAAACCCATTGAAATAGAAATCTTTGCGTACAGTACTAAAAATCCTAAACTAGACCTTTCGAACTTAAGAACCACATGTTAAGTCTATAAATATCTTTACAAATATACACGTTAATTACTCAAATAAACCTTTTCTGATTAAGTGTTTTACACGTTCATGACAGTGTCTCCTAGATTGCAAAGTTTCCAATCCTAAAACAATATCTTAAAAAAATGTCATTTTTTGTCTTTTAAGTACACGGCTGTGGACAGCATTATGATACATATTTGCATTTATATATTTACAATAAATCACTTTGTAGATACATTTTTAAAAAACCCTCATAACCTCGCTGTTCTTATTACTGAATGGCCCTGAAGCTTTGCCTCATCTTTGATGAGGAAAATTTGTTCCATGATTATCACTTTTTCTTTTTCCCAGGAAGCTAAAATGCGGATGATGGCGTACACGTTCACGAGGAAACGCTCACGTGATCCTCTCTGTTGCTGAACGTCTTCTAGTAACTCTGCGGAAGAACAAATCCTGTCATTGAGCTCACGCTGGCTTTGCTGGTATCTCGTTCATCAATTTTCTTTCAGATCGCTTTATTGCGATAAAAGGGCTCCGTGTAGTAAAAAAAAAACAAACCGAAAATCGGAGGACCCCCACCCACTGGATCACCAACAAGTCACTCATCAATGCCCTTCATTTCCTCCTCCTAAATCCAGTCTCAGGAGGTTTAATCCCAGTAGGCACGGAATGGTTTCACCCCACAGATTGTCTGTAACAAAAGACTGGCCCGAGTACAAAAATATAATTTCATTTCTGAAAAGAAGAACACAAACATGGTTCAACGGCAAGAAAAAAAAATCCTTCAATGTTTAAAGAGAGTTCTTGGGGATGAGGAGAAAAAGAAAACACGAAACAGAGCTTTGTCCGAGAGTTTAAGACAAATCAAAAAGAGCTGAAGCACTGTGGAAGTATTGCATGCTGAGTTTTCTTTTTTTTCTTTTTTGTCCCTCTCCGTATCTTGAGGTGCTTGAGTCAGTGAGCGGTGATATTTCTGTCACAAACTGTGAGAAGAGGTTAATGTCCGACCTCCTCCGGCACAGGTTTTATGTCCTAATCACCCCGTTACTGGGAAGCTGTTTGGGAAGACAGGGCTCGTCAGGCAGCGGGTCGTGGGCGAACACGGAGTCGTCCCCTGAGGAGCAGGTGCTGTTGGAGTCCTGACAGGTGGGCGAGTACTGCTCGAAGGGCACCGACAGGTCCAGGTACTCCTGTCAGAGGAGAGGTCAGAGGTTAGACTCTGGTGTCACAGTCAAACTTTTTCACTTTTTGGTGGTCAGATGATTGGAAAAAAGTTTAGCGTATTATTCCAGGTCTTCAGAATATGAAATACTTTGGAAATGTTATGCTGCTTTACATCGTTCACTCGCATGCAACTTTAAAAATACACCCAAACATCTAAAGAATCTCTCATTGCGACTCTTTAGCAGTGTTTTTATGGTTGGGTGACGCAATAAGCTGCGTGTGCTTTTATTTCTGGTGTTGTGTGTGTTCTGCAGCTTTGCAGGGAGACTTACGTCTGTGGAGGTCATTGATAAAATCCGGTCGTGATCTTCTACCAGCTGTCTGAAGGTCGGCCTCTGCGATGGCACAGCGTGCCAGCACTCCCTCATGATCATGTACCTGGAATCCCAACAGCGAGGATTTAGTCACACTGCGTCTCGTTCACTACATTCTCCGGTCTTAGATGGACTGTTTTTACTGTTTCGGTTTTTTTAGCAGACTAGACATAACGCACAAATAGTGCTTAAAAGGTCCCTATTAGGCTCATTTCCAGCTCCTTCTTTTTATTCTTAGCTTTGAGTGATTCACAGTTGAAAATGATCTCATATCTATATTGTACAGGGCCATCAAGCTGTTTGGTTCCCTTATACCAGGGGTGTCCAACTCCAGGCCTCAAGGGCTTTAGATATCACCTTGGGTCAACAGCGGTCCGAACCCCCGGGCCGTCGTTTGGTACCGTGAGAGATGAGACTCGGGTGTGAAATTTAAGGTTTTCAGGGTTTTTTTAATCATTAACTTGGTTTCCCTGGATCTTTTCCCGTGTTGTAGTTGTGTGTCTTATTTTGAAAAAAATATTTACGTGTTACCATAGTGACCAGAGAGCATTAAGGGGCAGAGAGGAGGACGTTACTCTCTTGTTGGCGCATTTCAAAAGGGGACGCTGCTAATAAAGTTACACAATTACACAGTAAATTCTTGTTTATTATTATATTTACAAAATACCACAGTTTTCGTCCTATCATATCATTTTATTTTGTTGTAGTTATCTGTGATGGATCAAGGGGACATCTAAAACCTGCAGGACACCGGCCCTTGAGGCCTGGAGTTGGACACCCCTGCCTTATACAAACATATTATGAATAGAGTATTTTAATGACAGAACAACTCATTAAGACATCGAAACCCTCCTAACAAAAAACACTTCAAAAAAGAGGTATAAAGTTATGGCTTTCTGGGAATGTCAGTAAATGTATGACAGTATGACAGATAAACAGAATATTACTGAGGAACATAACAGGGCCCTGATGTAACCTGCTGTTGTTTGGCTCATCTGGACAGCCTCCTGTAAACAAAGGCAACACACTTATACTCATGCAGACACCTACAGTTCGTGGGTGCAGTTGGCAGGCTTGTCCATTCGATGTCCTTCCTTCAGCAGTTTAAAGAGTTCTTCCACTGGGATCCCTGGGTACGGCGAGCCTCCCAAGGTGAAGATCTCCCACAGCAGTACCCCATAAGACCACCTAAACAGCAGCGCAAACACACGAGGAATATAGATCAGAGGTCGTAGCGACGCCGCGGTCTAAGGCAGTCGTAGTTCACACAGATGCGCTCTGTCCACCGATCGATCTGTTTGAAGGAAAAATCGATCCTCGGTAATGTTAACTGCACTCAATTTGAAAAAATCCATTTGAAATTCGTATTGTTTCAGACAGCTGGTCAATATTTGTAAACAAACAAAAAAATCTACTTCTCTTGCCTCAAGCAAGAAATAAGACGAGTAAACGAAAGAAGGAGATGTAATCATCAGTTTGTTGTTTTGATGGCTCAAGAAAAAAAACAACACAAAAAAACGACGCGTGCACAAAAATCTTGTGGTAAATAGGCAGCTATTAACTATGGACGCAGATAATGATGTTTCCACAACACCAACACAGGCCTGACCTGAAGGGAGAAGCAGAGATAAATGGGAAAACTTATTATACAGCATCTAGCGTTAAAGCGCAGCTGCTATCTAAACCAAGCCATCATCTCTCTTTCTTTGTCTCTCGGTGGCAGCAGCTCCAATGAACCCCCGTATTATTTCTTAATGTCTAAAAAATGAGGGACAGTAATCATATAACGGGCAGTCTATTAACTCAGCATACTATTGTTTGGCTATTCGTCCAGTGAATCAGAATGAGTCCCCTCCTTCTATTGCAGCTCTCGCTAGGTCTAATCTAATTATCCGCGCTCTGGTCCAGAGGGTGAATAAATGAAAAAAAAAGGGCCGCTACACTGGCTTAGCCGGCTGGTCCTAAATCCGAATACGGCGCACGCCTGAGACAGAGAGGGAGAGAGTCGGATGAAAGCCTGAGAGACGACTGTGGTGAAAAAGAGACATCAATATTCAAAGAGAGGGAAACATGTCAACAAATCAGGTGTTCAGTGTCACAGCAGGATAGTCGGAATCAGAAGGAAGAGCAGAAAAGAGAGGCTGCTTATATTTATTGAGGGTTGCTAGGAATGAATATTCACAGGCTATTAGGTGACTAACAGGAGAAGAAGGCAATGAAGATATAAACACTTCATTTGGGCACCTGCAGCAACGGGAGCTGACAGTCTCGGAATCTCAATGCAAGCATCACCGATGGCTGATTTAGTGAGATTTAGAAGGATAATCACTTTGGGGAGGAATGAATATAATCCTGCATTTGGTGTGCTGGTTCAATGATAGCTGTGGCAATATCTATCGACTTCAAATGTGTTCATCAATCAGCCCTGTCGGGCGATGAAAAGCCACTGAAAGTACATGTGCGAACAGACGAAGAGGAACAACGCTGCCTTAGTAGCAAAAAGGCCATGCTGCCACTACTAATTTCGTTAGTGGGGAACTCGTTATTTGCTTGGATTTTCTCTTCACCAATCATACCAAACCTGTTACTGACAATCTGGCAGTACTGCATGTGCTAGGTGGTTGGAGACGAGAGTTAATGAAAAGTCAGCCACAACTTTATTGGCTTTATTTGTTGCCCAAGCATTGCTTCTTGCTGTTTTCATATTCAGCACCGACTCTCTTCGTGACTTATACGGAAAAACAACATCATCTGTTTCTGGGGCTAATAATAGACTCTGACGAATGGTATCCATCTGTGATTTCAGTCCTGTAGACACTTTTAATAAAGAATATTTGCACATGATACCAATCAACACACCACTGATCGTGTATTCTTACAGCAGACATTAATAAACGTCAGCCACTCATATAAGCAGCGGCATGAGTCAAATTAAGAAAATGAAGGCTGTTAGAATATATCAGCGTCGCAATGTAATGACCGACTTTGTTAAAGAAGTTTTGAGTAATACTGTGAGCAGATAAATGCAAAATTATTGAAAGGCTTTTTCCCATGTGTCTTTTTAACATAGTATATCTAAACATACTACTTTTACTGAGCTATAGCATAAACCACTACAGGATGTGCTTTAACTCTGTAATGCTCAACGCTTGTAAAATGTATCTTTCTATTTATATACAGTATAAAAACTTCAGTAAGGGTTTTTAGCTGTCGCTGTGAAAGCGTCGTGCCAACAAAAAGGGAATTGGTTTAGAGGAGGTGGACATAAAAAGTTATCAGAGGGTTTCCAAGTGTCAAGATTTGGAGTGAGAAGTATCACCAAGAAACTCAAAGAGAGCCACACCGTACAGAGCGAGCCTGGCAAAGGTAGGGAGCAGAAGATTTCAAAGACTCTTTGAGAGAAGTGTCAAATAATCCCAGAACACCTGCCAAGACATGAGTGAATGCTGGGAATTGTAGTCGCAAAGAAGACAATCGCACACAAACTCTGCACAGGAATGGACTGCGAGAAAAAGTCCACTTCTGCAGAAGAGAAACCATCAACCCAGACTCAACTATGCTGATGACCTGGAGGAAGATACTGCATACTGGAAAAACATGCTTTGGTCAGATGAGACAAAAATAAAGCCATTTGATCTTAGAGGCACTGCTTGTGTTTGGAGGAAGAAGGGAGAGGCGACCAACCCCAAGAACACCGTCCTCACAGTCAAACACGGTGGTGGGAGTATTATGTTCACAGTAGAAGGAATCATAAAGGAAGGATATGTGAAGATTTTGAAAGAAAACAGCAACACACGTCACTGAGGAGTGTCCCAGTCCTGGTGAAGTCTACAGTGAGTGTCACTGACTGTGGGGTGAACTGACGACCAGGGTCTGTGCAGGAAGTTTGGAGGAGCTCGAGAGATTCACAAAAGAAGAATAGGCTGGGACTGCTCAGGAGGACATATACAATTGAGTATCAGCATCATGGGGGCTAATAATTTTAATCCAAAGCAAGCCTTGGTTTTTGGAAAAGCTGTGCTAAAATGTTTCATAGGGGGACTTAGAATTGCATCCTCATCTAAAGATATTGACATTGCTTAATTCAGGCTTGGCCAACTCCAGGCCTCGAGGGCCGGTGTCCCTGCAGGTTTTAGATCTCACCCTGGGTCTACACACCTGAATCACATGATTAGTTCATTACCAGGCCTCTGGAGAACTTCAAGACATGTTGAGGAGGTAATTTAGCCATTTAAAGCTGTGATGGATCAAGGACACATCTAAAACCTGCAGGACACCGGCCCTCGAGGCCTGGGTTTGGACACCCCTGGCTTAAATGAAAAGAATGGCATCTACTCTATCTGTGACCATATCTTTGCTCTAAGCCTACCAGCATTACATTTACTGTTCTACTGGACATTAATTTGTTTATTTAGTTACAGGTAAGTTTCTTTCCCTTTAAAATCATTTCTGCAAACGTGTCAGTGCCAAAAGCTTTAGTCTTAATCATACCTGCTTTTACAACCCAGCTGCTTTTGGCCCACACCTTCCCCACCTTCCCTGCTTTTAATGGGCTAGTGCGTCACTGTGAAGCTGCAGTGAGATTTCTCCACTGCAGCTTTTATAGGCTGACACCTCCGAAGCTGTCCAAAATAAAATCCTCACCTCCGTGACATTGGCAGCGGCCGCAGTGCTGGCTGAGCCTCTATCTGCACTAAATAACTCTGGTGTTTGAAGTCGAAAAGAGAACTGGTGATGTTAATGACGACTTACACGTTTTCTTGAAAAATGAAAAATGTGCGAAAGGACAAAAATCCTATAAAAATGGCTCCCAAATGTTGCCACTGTGTTTTCTGCCTTTACAGCTGTAAATGAGCCAGGAGGGTTTCAACAAGCATGAATCTCACAGGAGAAACAATATGCACTACTGTTTTTTCATTGTTTTTTAATTGATTCGCCATCATATTTCCTAAAAAAAAAGGGGGAAAAATAAGAAATCATTGCGAGTCAAAAGTCAAGGTCCCCCAGGGTGTGTGAGAGTAAACTGGCTTCAGAGCGACTACTGTATAAAAGGAGGAGGAGGAGGTTTGGCGGGAGGATTGACTGTGTAATCCAGACCTGCTGAAATAACAGAGAAGCCTGATTCTCCCCTCGGCCTGTTCCCAGTCTAGTGTAATCACACGGCGAGCCAGTGTTGACAGGGGCCTGTGTTTGGCTTGGATGGCTGTGCTGGGGACACGGCGTCTGGCTGTAGCCGGCGGGGCTTGGGGGTTGAGAAGACGTTTTGGGGTGGGGGGTGGTATGTTACAGCTACTGCAAGGCAGGCCGCCTTGCCTCCTCACCTTTCTTCTCTTGATCGTGGCCAACACGGAAGCAATCAGAGGTTGTGAAAACTGTCTCTGCTGCCCAGATTCCTTTTGAACTGCTGTGGGGAAAGTGCCCCGAGGGAACACCTTGTGATAAATCCACTGACCCTCTTTATCTCCTCCTGCTCTGGGGCAGGTTGGATTTTCACTGATAAAACAGCACTAAGATGTCGGGACTCTGTTGTGTTCCTATCTCTCTCTGCTGTCGTTGGATAGAGATTAAAAGAACAAATGCAGGAATGCGCCGCGGCTAATACGCGAGAACCTCGGGGGTTATCAGGTGAACCGCAGATATTTGGAAAGGGAATGTTATGATTCCATGTTCGCACACGGTTGATGCTAACATGCTCAGTCACGATATTTCAACACCCGGATTCCGCCGGTGCACTCGCTTACACGCGACTGGGCAGTTGGTATGTGACGGTTAGTTTGTGCAAACTCACACATCGCTCTGGTGCGTGTAGACCCGGTCGAAGAGAGCCTCTGGAGCCATCCATTTCACGGGGAGACGACCCTGAAACAAAGGAGACAGAAACGCTTGGGTCAGCAGAAGCACTCTGTACGGAGCTGACAACCAAACACTCACACAAACTTCAGCCTAGTCGCGCTGCCACCACCACAGCTTGAACTTCAGCTAGCTTCAGAAATCTGATGACCATTTCGGTGCTTCATTCGCAGCAACGCCTTTGCTTGAAAACACATTCATATCAACACTGTGGAATCCGCATATACACTTTTAATTTTGCTCAATCTGCTCAATTCTACTTTTGAGATGCGACCCGACCGTGACACTGAAAGAAAAGACTTTCAGCCATATGTAAGAAGCTGCTGCTGTATTCAATACCATCCCATCGTATCGCTTCAAACACATAATATTTTCCTAAAGGAGAGCACTGAAGGAATGAGCCTCACATTTGTGGTCTTTTTGTAGTAGTCTATATTGTGCACGTCTCTGGCGAGACCGAAGTCGGCGATCTTCATAACGTTGTCCTCCGTCACAAGGACGTTTCTGGCTGCCAGGTCTCTGTGGATGCACTGAGGGAAGAAGAACAAATGCATCAAACACACGGCGCATTGCGCTCACGCATACACGCAAATATACTGAAACACTGATGCAAGTTGACAAGTTTTACTTTGCACTATGAAACGCACAAACTGAACTTTAAAAGCCTCAAATTTAGTTTAAACTTAGAGTTTTAATTCACTAATCTAATTATCTTTCAATTTCGCAATTAACACATTGCTGTAATGGACTTGATTTCTTCCTGTTAAAAGGGAGTTTTTCCTTCTCACTGTTGCCAAGTGCTTGCTCATAGGGGGTTGTCTGATTGAGAAGTTAAGTGCAGGCCAAAGCATCCTTTTATATGATAACTGAGTTAAAGTGAAGCAACGTGGCTAACCTTCTGTGAAGCAAGATACTCCATGCCTCGGGCAACCTGGTAGGCACAGGACACCAGGTCTTTGAACGTGAGCTGCTCATCGGGGATTTTGCACGTGTCGAAGGAGTAGTCCATGCCCGGTGGCCGCCGTGCACGCAGGTACTCCCTCAGGTTGCCTTTGGAGGCGTATTCCACCAGGACATACAGAGGACCTGCACGGGAAACAGAGAACAAATATGACTTTCATGGCAATGGTTAAGTCCTGCATAAATTCTGTTGTTACTGCACTCTGCGCTCACCATCCTGTGTGCAGGCTCCGAGTAGGTTGATGATGTTTTTGTGTTTCCCAATCATCTTCATCATCTCCATTTCTGACACCAGGTCTGATAAATCTTTATCTGTGGCGTCATCTGAGATAAGAAAATCAATGGAGCATTTGTACTGACGAAAATACGAACCGAAGCAATCAAACCAACGCAAATCCAGTACACAAGACAAACAGAACAACAGCGAGCATGGTAGCACTGTCACTGCCAAGGTCATGTATTCATTCCTGCAGGGTAGCCACAGTGATTACTTACCTTTCAACATTTTCACAGCAACAGTGAGCGACTTGTTGGGCTTCTCTTTGTCGATGCCAACAGCCTCAGCCATAACCACCTGACCGAAGCAGCCCTCTCCCAGAGGTTTACCCAGAGTTAGCCTGAAACAAGTGGCCAGATTTCAGACTTGGAGTTCAGTGTGTATACTCAAAAGACTTTAAGTAATTTGATTACATGTAAATTTCACATGTAATCTTGTCACATAAGCACAATGTAAAGTGTGAAATATAATTTACTTGACTGAATAATTTTTTTTGAGCGCGTGCAGTGTGCTTTTTTCCTCACCGTGTCCGAGGGAACTCCCATTTGGGGTCGGACGGCAGCTCCAGCTCCGAGACGTTGGCGAGCATCGGGCCGTCGCTGGACGACAGACGGGCGATCCTGACCAGCGGCGTGTTTGAGTTCATGGAAGAGTTGGAATCCAAGGACACCTGCTTGGGTACAAAAGAATAAACTGTTATAGTCTCTGAAAAAGAGTTTGGTGACAGGCATTCAAATAAAGACAGAGGGAAAAGAGAAATCTAACCGTGATCTTTGACCAAATATTTTTTAACTAAATAATGAATAAGTAATTCCTTTTTCAGATCAGTTTGACTCTTTATTATTTATTCAAACAGTCCTAATATTTTTGATGTTTTTGAAAATGAACCAGCCCCTGAAACATAAAATATATTCAAAAGAAATCATTTCTCGTGACACACTGAAAATCTTGACACTCTTTTGGGGGGTGAAAAAAAACAAAAACTGACAAAAATACATCCAGTGCAAAATCCAGTCAAATTCAAAACAGCTTTGAAGTTTAAAGAACAACATTCAGTGACTTGAGATAAAACCCTTTTTGGGAAACATCACACATCTCGGGACCAGACCAATGTCAGTGACTTTTACAAACAGCAGGCCTGTGGCTGCCCACGGGAGGAAGCAGGAGGTAACAAAGATGAATGAAGGAGGATGCAGAGGTGGGCGAGTGAGTGGCGAGGTGGGGTGGACATCTCTATCCATCAACAAGCTCCATTTCTGGATCTGCGGTCATTCCGCTGAGCCCTTGGGCTCGGCATCCTCCCGCCATTTATCTGACTGCTGGGGAAAAAACCGATGGCTCGGGTCTGCTTTTTGATAGATCTGTTTATGTCAGGGTCTGCCGGCTCAGACCCTTCAGGTGGGGTCCTGAAACAAACATGTCCACTTACCAGACTTCTTGACTGGAGGAAAATGAGAAAAAGGGCCCTGACCACAATTTCAGAGGCATGAAAAGTAATATCTGATAGAACATGCCAGGAGCTTTACAGGAGATTTACTCAGAGTTATGAAAAAGAAAGGAGAGAACAGGGAGATTAGCTTTACAAAAACGAAGCAAAGATTATAGAAAAATGCAATAAGAACTTTCCCTGCACTACCTTACAAGACCATTTATATGAGCGCCGCACAAGTAGAAATGATTTAGAGGCTACAATTAAAAAATGTTTCAATAGATGAGGTTTCTACTTGATATAACCTAACAATACTTCTTTATGTACTACCTTTACAGCTGAAACCTTATCGTGGTTTTAAAAGTCTGTTTGTTTTCCAAGAACTGCATTATGGCTTTCAAATAATATTTTCTTTTCTAAAAATGCATCGTTTCCATTTTGAGACGCACAACCCTTTAATTATGGAGTCGGAAAGCTGGATTTTGCACAAAACACACAGACACACATAGTGGCTATGTCCTGCACACAGTGGGAGCCAGCAGGGTGGGGCCGAAGAGATAATCGCAAACTCGTCTACATGTTAGACTTTCAGACAATCTTGGCATTCAGAGAGAAATGGTAAGATGCACATCCCTACCTGGATTATAATTACTGTAAGAGACCAAAAGTAATGAGCTAAAGGCTCACAGGGATTAGTGTGACTGCTCTAAATAATCTGTTTCTGACTGTCTTGTTTTGTTCTTGGCTCTCTGTGATGTCATTCAAAGTGGCTATCCTTAATATGTTCAACCCAGACTCACAGCTCTGGCTCTGAGCACAGAAGCCTATTTGTCCCACCTCTTGTTCGACCTTCTCTTTAGAGAAAAGGTTGAAGGTAAAAAAGCTTTTTTCAGATGGAAGATAAACTACAGTACGTAGGATAAATCAGGATTTCTTGAACTGTGATTCATGCAAAGCTAGAGTCCAAAAATAATAACTTGGACTTATAAAAGAGCGTAATAGTTCCCTTTTAACCCCGTACTGCCAAGTGTATCATATCTGATATCTTATTTTTTGAAGCCTCATCAGTGTTTTCATTTCTCCTAATATGATTTTGCTTGTTTAAGGGAAACAAACCGTGAACAATAAATTGCACAAAATGCTATTTGTAGCAGAAATTATACAAAAAAAAAAAAAAAAAAAAAAAATTATCTTGATTTAACCTAAAAACTGAAAGCCCCCTTCATATATCTGTTAAAAGTTAGCATTAGAGCTGCTCACAGTAAAGCACAGTAAAAATTGGTTTATATTAGCTATTTGGCAACATATAAGAATCAGCATTTATAACGGCATATAAATAACAATTAAAAAAGTAAAGAAGAGACAAAAAAACCACACTTTAACCATTATATCAGTGCTGACGTTGTATAGTTAGTCCACAAGAGGGCGCTCTGCAACTGATGACAACAGAGCGTAAAATGGTGACGACGACTCGCGATCCGATCCGCAACTGATCTTAGCAAATGATCCATGAATAAATAACTGCATAACAAATGTTAAGGAAATGTTTTTTCGTGCGTCTTAATTCTACCCCCAAAAAGATGACATCTGACAGCGTCCCCCGTACAGATAATGAGTTTTAGCATCTCAGTAAAAATCAATAAGGATGTGGTTTGATGACCATTAGAAGCAGTTTCTGTTTTTTTTCAAGGGTAGCTGCATAAGCAGAGACCAGCTATGCTAACGTCTGATGTGCACCCAATAATTTTGTTCTATAAGCAGTCCTGAAATATGACAGAAACCACTAAGGTCAGAAAAGAGCTTGAAGGGTTAAAATATCAACATCAGTCTTAAAAAAAATTCTGTATCTGTCGGTCTGTCTCTGAGTGTTTACTAACGAGTCAAGCTAGCGTACCCAGGTTTTACTCTTTATGCTAAGCTAACCCGCTACTAGCTCTAGCTTTGTGTTTACATAAAGAGATGATCAATCCTTTGTCTCAACTCTTGTTGGAAGAGTGCTCAACAATTTTTTTTACAAAATAAATTATTCCTTCAGCCCTCGAGACTTGCTTTAATTTCAATAACAGCCTGTTCGATAGTAAACTGAGCATGATTAGCCCGATCTTAGTAGATACTGTATCTAAGCTTAGTCCTGAAGTCACGAAGAGTTCTTCGGACTAAAAGCTGCGGCAATGCAGCTGCTCCACTCTGTGTTTCTTCGCAAACAGTTGATGAGAGAGAGTGTGTGATACACTCAGAGTGAAATCTAAAACCAACACTGACAGTCACAGGAGCGCATAAATATCCCTGAACCAAATCTGCTCCAAGATAAATGTGAACACATGTCACCAGTGTGCTGCCGTCCATCGTCAACACAGCGCCAATTAAACAACAGGACAGACAGACGCGTAGAAACCTTCTTTAACCAATTTATACTTTGTTCTATTATTTAAAGATACCCCAAACTCTTCCTTTCTTAGTTTGACCTGGGTTATATACTAAAAGCTGCATTAAACAGACAAGCAGAGAGAAGAAAGGTTTTGGGAAAGTCTTGTGCAAATCTTGTATCTACTTTCTGTTACCTGTCTCTTGAGGGGGAACTTTGACAGTTTTTGCACGGGAGGCGTGGGCAGAGTCTTCTGCGTGGTCATCCTCATACGGCAGAGGATTGCGATGACCACGGCGAGGATGAAGAGCACGCAGCCTGTCACGTAGATAAGGATGTCGGCGTAGTAGTCTTCCTTTTGTGGACTCACTGCTTTAGGAGGGAAAATGTGAAAAGTCAGTTGAAATTCACCAAATTCACACAGCATTTTGTTTTAATTCCCACTCAAAAATAGCTTGCTTTGTTCAGTAGCACACTTCAACCAAATGGATTTTTAGTGAGCATTTTCTGTGAAGAAATATCCATAAATCAAAAGAGAAACAGATCAGAAACTTGTCGTTCCTCACTGAAAGCTCGCATTCACACCGTGGGTTGGGGCAGCAACCCATGGTGTGATCATCGTGTAGTTTTATCCTGCTGCAGGTAATTGCACCTGTGATACGCTTTTCCTCAGGGAGGCAATTATTGTCTTGAAAAGCAAAAGCTGAAGTGTCGTTAAATTGCCTCATAGCCCAGAGACATCTGAGCAGACGATCTGCTCTGATTAAAAAGCGCCTTTCAGTGAAGGATGGATTGCATGTTCGGTTGGTTAAATTAAAGGGATGGTGACAGAGCGTCGACGCACTTAAAATGTGTGCTTACAAGTAGCAATCTATGATAATTAGGTTTGAAAATTGATGTTAAATATTGTGCTGCAGAGCAAAACAAGTTTCGTGGCGTTTCTAACATTTCAGGTAACACAGGTGGGAGAAAATGGACCCACAGAGTGAAGAGTATACCTGGAAGCACCGTCAGCCAAGCAGAGTGGTAAGAAAAGCCGATAGAGTTCCCTGCGAGACAAGTGTACTCGCCCGCATCCTCAAAAGACACATTGGTCAAGAAGAGAACCTCTAGCTCCTTATCTGTAGTGTTAATGCCAGCCGTCTGTGGAGGATGAGAGGGAGGAGAGGGAAGAGAAAGAGACAGAGAGAGAAGATATATCGTAAGGCGAAAGCTTCTTAGAAGAAACACCAAATGCACCCTGGAGGAAAGGACAGTCCTGTTTACTGTTGTCAGCACCATCACCCACACCTGAAAACACCCAAGCAGCACCTACACCACGCTGTGAGACAAGCTCGTTGGTTCAGCCTAACGCCACAGGCACTCTTTGATGTAATGAACTCCTATCAAGAATTTTCTAGACTGCAGCAGTGATTTACTTTCATATGTGGAATCGTAAGACACAGGCATCCATTTCCACATTTAGAACAGGCAGAAGTGTCATAACAGAGTTTCCTAACACAAAATATTTCTTACAGACTTCTGTAAGCTTCTTTGATAAGGAGAGTTTTCTGTTGCCTCCAAATGCACCCGTGAGTTTAAACTGAACCACGTACAGTTGACCTGATGACAAAGCTTGCCTTTGGTTCTGGACTTGCTTATGAAGGTCTTTGTGTGTTTGTGAGAGGAAAGTGATTTGCGCCTTTGGATCAGTGTTTTTCTAGGAATGCCTCAAGGATCAGTCCTAGATCCTTTATGTTTTTAAAAGAAAACAAATTCAAATGAGCACCGGGTTTTGTAAACATGTTTTAAAAAGATATTTTTAGTTTAAGATTACTGCTGCAAGATGTCATTACCAAAATGGGATTTCACCTGAATTTTTTACAAGTAAAATTTAGAGCGCCAGATTTATTAAATGGTGCAAAAATAGCATGAGCGCAATCCCCAAATAGAGCTCAGAGGCCTGGTTAGTTTTATGGGTGATTTACAAAAGCGCCATAAAGCACAAAAAAACCTTTTTTTTCCCCCAGCTTTTTAAATTGTGCAGATATTTAACGTTAGTAAATCAGTTTGCACGCTTGATTTAAACAGTCTTAGTCTTAAATAGTTTGTGCCTTGAGAAAGGAACTCACAGAAATACAACAGGGTCTGAGTTCCCACCTCTTACACGCCATCTTGTCACTGTGCACTTTTTGTAAATATCAAGAGTATCATCAACATCAACTTTTTTTTTTAAGCACCAAAGCCCAGCCTAAAAAGTGCATCACTGCAGTTGCGATTTTTCTTTCTTCAAATATCATTTGGTGTGATGACCGCTAGGTTAGTTTGATTCAAAGGCAGTGCTGGATGTGGCTTAGTAAAGGCTGAGGTGGAGGACTTATTCCCCGTGCCTCAGTAATGAACACTGACATCCAGGCGCCTGCTGCATGCTCTCATATAAAAGCACATTAATATAGCAGGAGGATGCTCTCCCAGAGAAATCAATACTGGCTTGTTTGTGTACGGGTACGCTTTGGTCAGTAAAGGTTTTATGTGGGCTTTAATCTGTGTGTGTGTGTGTGTGTGTGTGAGTGTGTGTGAGTGTGTGTGTGTGTGTGTGTGTGTGTGTGTGAGAGAGACTTTTGAAGTTTTTGCATTAATTAATGGCGCAATATTGTCTTTCTCTTATCGACCGGTAAGGAAGACAAAGTGGCACTGGGAGCTAAAATAGATGATGGCCATTAGCTAACAAAATGCGAGCATTAGAACTCAAACCTCACTGATGAATGTGTATAGGTGTCAGCAAGCCAGCGAGCCAGTCAAAACCCACAACCAAGAGGAACATTGCAGAGAGGAAGAGGCACAGCAGATCAAATGTGGTGACGACGGTTCTCGCCCAGAGTTCAGAATTTACCTGGTTTGTATATGTTAAGCCAGAAAGCGTTTTCTGACTTTCCTACAAAGTTTGAAGCACGACACCAGTACTTCCCGGCGTCTTTCTCTGTCACGTTGGACAGTTTCAACTTACTGTGGGTCTCAATGTGTTTACTGACAACACTCTGTAAAGGGAAAATTGAAAGGCAGAGTGAGGCCTTCAGAGCTCCTGCAAAAACACATAGTAACAACATGCAAACCTACATACTACACACACATCTAAAAGAAGCACTGCACATTGGTTTTTACATTAACAACATTTTTTTGTGTTATTAGCTTAGTTTCATTGTTTATTGTGAACAAAGGAGACCTCTTACGCTCATTCTTATCTCCACATAGCTCTACGTGCTTCACAGCTCAAAAATGATCCAGCTTCTCTCCCTTTAAGGCAAACTTTCTTCTGATTGGCCGATCCGTGTGTTTTCATACATCACAGAGAGCCGTCAGTAGAAAAAACTGCCTCAAACTGAATCCTCATCATTTAGTCCACTATTGTAACAGTATATATGTGATAGAAAATAATGAAAAGCACGATGAATAAATCCTCTTTATAAGCTGCTGTTGTAAAAAAAACAGAGACAGCCAGTTCTATGACTTTCCAGTTGTTTACAGATTTATGCTAAGCTATGCTAACATGACGTGAGAGTGATACAGTGAGGCATAGTGTCATTCTGTCAGTTTTGTTGATTAAAAGCAACATGTCAAACCTGTAAGATCATAAACACACAACAACAGGAACACACACAAACCATACATTGCAGACTCGCACCAATCCGCGCTGTCTGTTGCTAGTTTAAAGGCATTACAGTATGTCAGTCCTATAAGGGTGTAAACCTGCGAGTGTAAACACTCACGATCTGACTGGGTGCTTCGCTCGCAGGGAAACTGCTGCTAAATTATTAAACGGGCCCGGCGCATAAAGGAGAAAACATATCATGTTTTATAGTTGCTTAATGAACATCCACGGCTTGGCTCCAGACATCTCCTTCTCCCTCCCCCGTGCGGGGCGAGTCACTCATCGTTAACTCTTTTTCCAGGCATCAAAAGAACGATTCAGGCATTTCTCAAAAAAAAGAAAAGAAAAATTCTTTTTTTGACCCCCTCGTCTCACCCTAAGCTGTATTTAACTTCTACAGTATATGCCACACACGAGAGAGCATATCATGTCTGAGTGAACTGTGGTGGGCCTAGAGAGAGAGACTGAGAGTGACAGAGAGAGAGGGAGGCACACACAAATCTCAGTAAATACTGTTTCAATTATGCGGTAGTCGAAAATAGAGCGTGGAGCCGCAGTCTGGGCTGACAGGCTTGCTTTCCCCCCTCTTTCTCTCTCTTTTTGTTGGCCTCTCTCTTTCTCCTCCTCTTACTCTCACTCTCTCAGTCCTTTTGCTTTCTATTTTACTCCACCTTCTCAGACGTACATTTCTAAAGATTTGCTGGACACTTTATATGCTGATCTTGTGTTTGAAGTCGTGAAGTTACGAAGACAACATACTGCACCCACAACCATATCTCTTATCCACAAACGACCCACGTGTTTCAGCTCAAGCATAAATTAAATGACACTACATTGATGTAAAAGGCTTCGGCACAGTCAGTGTTTTAATAAGTCATAAAATAACTGTGAATCCAGCAGATTTAAAGTGACATTTCAACATTAAATGAGTGAGCACCTAGGACACCTCGCTAAACTACCAGGCTCATATAGCCTCATATTGAACGTGCGGATAGGAGAGCGTCTCATGTAACAAGTGAAGGTATTCATTTATTTATTTAAATGACTTGACATTAAAAGTCAATGAAACTTTAATGTCAAGATGGAGTAACCCAGACCTTCAAGCTCACGACTCATAGTGTGAAGATATTCAAAAATTTTAATAATAATTCTAATAATGTGTTAGAAGATTAGAAACTCAGGCCTTGAGCATCTCTTCAACTCAGGAAGGTTATCATCTAAAGGCTTCAGCTCCAAAATAATCTATTTGCAACCTGAGAGCACTCTTGTACCTGGACAGTTACTTTCATATGTGAAAAGCTAACACTGTGACGTTTCTCCATGCGCTTTGTTCAGCTTCTATCTCTTGCTCTTCTTGTTTCACGTTTGCATCTTATTTCCTTCGTCCCCTCCTCCCGCCCGTCTCGCTGCTTTTCTAACACCCCAGCCACTCGTTCTCGCCCTCGCTCTCCATCTTTGCCCACCAATCTGTCACACATTCTCTCCCTCTCCCTGCTGACTTTGCCCTTCCTCGTGTTCCTCCACTAATTTTTTCCATGGCTTTTTTGGTTGCCTCTTCCCTTTTTCCTCTCTCCTCCTCCTCCTCAAACCACGCGACGCAGCACATCTGACGGCAGTGGCGGTTAGCAGAGCCTGCCTCTCTCCCTGCGTTGCCGCCACCACAGCAGTTAACTTAGTCCAAACCAGATGTTTGTTTTATTCACCCTCTCCTCTTTCTCTCTCCAGAGGCAGAAAAAAGAAAAAAAGGAGGAGGGGGGGGCGGTCAAAATGAGACAGCTAAGCCCTCTCGGGTTTTGCGATGTGGATGGGAGTCTTCCTTTCTAGACCCCAGATCTAAAAACACGCCTCGAAGTGGGTTTAAGGTTGTTGCCCTCTCTTCGATTGATTGTGGACAATCCTATCTACACTTTCCTAATACTTCATGAGGAAGTATGCGATTAAAATATCTTTTTAAAAACTAAAAGATGCTTCATCAGGGCAAGGACAAAAACTGAAGACGGGCAACGCTGAATAGCTCAGAAAAGTTGTGATTAATCTACAGGGACATCTGAAAATGCAAGTCACATATACGTGATTTTCCAGCTCGATTTATAATTAAATAGTTCTTTCCCAAGCAAGTAAACACATAGGGCCACCTTGACTGATCAGACTTATAACCTTTAGGGTGGATTTTTGATTCACTTTATTCATGTATTTTGTTTTTCTGACATTCTTTAGTTGAATTACGGTTTGACTCAATACGAAATGAAGCGCAATAAAAAAAAAGTCAAGTATCTCTTCTTCTCTATAATGCTGTAACCAAATATAGATTTTAGGAAATCTGACAAAGAAAACCTTTTCGTTGTTGTGATTGTCAGTCTGTCACTTACTGAATCAAACAATGCAAACATGACTGCCTTGGCAATCTCCTTTCCAGTGGTTAAATAAACAAATCTGGGATTTGCAATGAGACTGAAATACCAACAGCTGATATTTGGATAAACCATGACATTTATCTCAACAATAACAAATATTTCTCTGCAAATGCAGCTATTGCCTATTTCGTGCACTTCCTCCTAACATATTTTATTCAAATCGAATGTAACCAGTAAGCGGCACTCGACTGATTGGCTTGTGGAAATGCTGGTTAAGCATGATTAATTGCTGTTAGCCTATTAAAGAAACATGAATACATTTATAGTGGTGGAAGAGACACAATGCGCAATCACTGGGTACAATCCTGCACTAAGTTAGTATAGGTGCTCACCCCCCAACCATTCCCCTTGCCCCTCCCTCAGCCTGCTTCTGCTGGAGGTTTCTTCCTGTTAAAATGGAGTTTTTCCTTCCCACTGTCACCAAGTGTTTGCTAACGGGGGGATCATCTCATTGTTTAGGTTTTTTCTGTGTTATTGTAAGGCCTTTACCTTACGATATAAAGTGATCTGAGGTGACAACGGTTACGATTTGGACCTTAACAAGTAAAACTGATTTGAAATTGAATTGAATTAGAACCTCTGTGCTGACAGCCAGAGCTGTGTGTCTGAGACAATCTTAAAAATGATATCCTCTTACTGTTTCATCATGACATAAATGAGTAGAAAAAAAAGAAAAAAGGAACAAATAAGAAAAAGGAGAAAGAAAATAAAACACTATAATTATAAGTGAACTGGCTCCATCATCACCAGTATGGAACCACACTGCTCAGGCCAGCATTAGAATAAACTGAAGCAGTGCAGGTGCCGTGGTTAAGTGGAGAAAATTATTTACAGGGCTATTATTAGGTTTATGAGAATCCATTTTTATATGGTGTGGTATGTCGCAAAATGCAGGTGTGTGTTTTTTCCCCATAATGAAGGTATGGTGTTTGAGGAATGAGCTCTTCGGGTTCAGGCTGCAGCAAAAACAGCCTGTGGGCCCCACAGACCCACCTACTGTAAAAGCTCATTAAACAGAACTATTAGGAGAGATTAATTATGAGTAGAATTATCGCAGACTGAGATCGACTCCAGGCAGTGAGACTCAGGCTCATTACAGATGTAAAACAAAGAGCTCTGAGCTACAGACCCACCTTCAGCACGTTGACGTAGGGAACACCGTCGGGGCCAAGGCGACTGCCGTTCACCTCAATGTGTTTGAGCCACTGGATGTGCGGCTGGGCGTCGCTGTAAACCTTACAATGAAACTCCACATTGCTGCCCACCACCACCGTCTGATTGGCTGGCAGACCAGCCTGGAGGATGGGCCTGTGAGGTGAACGCTCTGAGGAAAAAGAAATTATAGAGTCATTACCACAACTCATTTGTGGCAATAATATGCTGCAGGAAATTTAGACTTAAGGTACAGCTAAAAATAAGCTCTTTTATAATTGCTGTGTGTTAAGTTATGTGTTGTTAAAACAGCAGAAGAGAAAAGACATTCACCGAGCACGTCGAGCTGGTAGGTGTGGCTGATGGAGCCGTATTTGTTTTGCACAACGCAGGTGTAGTTTCCCCGGTCTGACGGCACGGCGCTCTCCATCACCAGACTCCACTGCTGGTGTCTCAGCTTGGGGTTGGGTGGGGTGGAGGGACGACGGAGATGAGAGAGGAGAGAATATTTAGTATATGTCATAAAAAATGACAAGGGTGCAGAAGTCTTTGGGAGAATTTGCTTTCATATTTTCAAGAGAGCAACACACAAATACCCATTTAGTATATTCCTACGTTTAATAAGACGGTCACCATAGAGAAATTGCTCCAATAAATATCAGCTATTGCTATAGAAAAGCGTCCTCTCTACTGTCAGAGCTATTCCCTCCTTTGATATCCTTTGGTATAAAACATCACAGAGCGCACCGCTCGGCAAACAGGAGAGGCCTTTGTGCAGTGCATGTTTACTGAGGTGCAAACCCTTTTGAACAAACATTTCAAACGACGACACAACTTTAACCTCTTTTTATTAATTGCGTCCCGCTTGATGCAGAACAGATGTGATTAGCAGAACGCAATATTTTGATGTGGTGTAAACGTCTTAATGGGAATTTATTCCGCGTGCCCGCAGCGGCCAGAGAAGCTGCAGAGATTGGTGTCATCAGGTATCGCTTTGAAGAAATCACAAGGAACGGCCTTTTCAAGAAATAGAACGCAGCACACGCCATATGTTTGAGAAACCAGTTAAACTAACTGGAATCATGACTTGATGAAATACGACATTTTCAAATAGCAGAGAAGTATTTTCTTCTCTCCGCCTGCAGTGAGGGTGAGTTTTTTTTCTTCTTTTGCACCTCTGAAAGTGATTCCACTGTGCCACTCAGGAGCAAGCCATCCCCGGAGACCCGAGTGTTGAATTGTGTGTAGTAATTCAAACCAGGTGTGGCTGGATGGCAGCAGCAGACAGATACTAACTTGACAGATTCAGAAGTCTATCGGATGGGAGAGCGAACGTACGAGCGGTCCTGCACCGCGAGGCGCGAAGACAGAACCCGCCACGGATCGATAAGCAGAGTCTCCACGGGCCGAGAGGAATGACCTCCACGGTTCAAGTGGAAACGTGTGGCGCTTAGCGCTGTGAGACAGGAGCAGAGTGAACTCCTCCGCGAGAGGTCAGAATTACTAACGACGGGAGTGAGTGATGTCAACAAGGAGGCTTTTCAGGGTGGAACACTTAACATCACCCGCAAAGGAAAATGTGCAAAGAAGGTTAAATGTTTTTGCAAACATTTAACCCCACACATTTTGGTGGCCAGCCAGCCATTCACAGAAGGTATATATATATATATATATATATATATATATATATTTGTATGCTGAGGATCAAATTCTCCTCCCCTACTTCTTCTTCTTCTTCTCCTCTGTCTGTCTTACAGTATACACTTCTTGACTCCCACTCTTGGAGGCGTATACGGAAAATAATGTAACAGTGTAAATATTATGCCTGTGTGTGCTTTTTGCAGTTGCGTGGTAACATAGGCTCGCTCGACGCTGGCAAATGGTTCTTCAGAGGGGCTGGCTCCACCCCGTCTACCCCTCTCAGAGACAGGAGTCAAACCGAAGTCAATGGCTGCTCTCATGAGCAGCTGAGTGACGCCTTGTGCTGTGGTGGCTGGGATTGAGCTGAGCAGAGAGGGGAGTGAAGGGAAAAAAAAACCCCAGAAAACAGGCGACACATGCAGGGGGAACCGAAAAGGTGGTAAAATATGAGAACAAGTTCAAGCTCAGTAGTGGGCAAGACCACCAAGAGATACAGAAAGAGAGCGATCCAGAGCATGACTTCTTTGCTTTGTAACTCTTTGCAAACTTTCAGTTCAGATGGAGCTTTTGCGCAACTACATTTATACGACAGCTGCTGTTACATTGCAGATTCTGATTTCACACCTAGCCTGAGACATCTGTCTGATACACGCACTCGGTTTTAAAGTGTTAACTGCCACTAATATCGTGGCTACTGAAACCGAACTTCTTGTCTGCGGTAATAATTATGTTTGAGTGCCATTCTACTTTAATTCCTCCTGGCACTTTTCATTATTTTCTAAACACACATCACTGGCTTTTATTACCATGTTACACTGGCTAACCCCTGTTGAACTCGTAGCATTAGTCCCCAAATGTGATAATCCTATCCATTCCAATCATGCCAGATTCCAACCAGAATTAAATTATTAAGCAGCTTACATTAGAGTCATACAAGGCTTTAAAGGTTTTAAGGCTTTGGCTGTGGATGTACGGAGCGCACAGAGCATGCCATGGGAATGGACAGGCAGTTTTACACTGCAAAAAGTGCACTTTGAAAGAGACATTACCAGCTTTTCAGGAGTCTGAAGAGGACAGAGAAACAACTTGAAATTTGTATTCTGTGTTAATTTTTTCTCTGAAATATTTTGGGACAAAGTAAACTGCCTTTCGAGGCATTTCCTTTTGCTTCACCGGGATTGCCATCGAAAACACTTCAGTTCCCTCATCCAATGGGCAGATTCTCTCACGTCTTTTCATCAAATTCTGGACTCTGAGCGAGCTTGAGAGACTGGCAAAGATGCTGACATTTTTTGCAGTGTATTAGTTGTCTGAGAAAACACAGGAAGCTCTTTTCCCTTTATAGTCCAAACTCTCCGTCTTCACCTCACAAAATAGCTTCTGTCAGAACCAGCGGGGCCAGTTACCAGAATTTATGAGTGTGTCAGAGCGGACCAGTGGCCCGGATCTGCGCTACCGTCTAATTTGACCCATAGAGAAGGTAGAAACAGAGAGATGCAGCCCTAAGGGGGTTGCTATTAAAGCTGGTAAAGTTTAGCTTTGCAAGACAGCAGAAGGCTGTAAAAATGGAAGTATACCAGTAAAAAAAAAAATTGGATCATCTATCTTTTGATATCTGCGATGTGTTTGATTAAAATGACCGAGAGGGGAAAAAGACGTGCGGCTGGTCTAAAATTAAAAAAAGGAGTCCAAAAATAATCTTGCAATGTGTAGAAATTCCTGCGTGGCCTACTGAGACTCACAATCCAGGCTGTGTTAAAATCCGGAGTGGAAAAAACAAGGATTTAAAGTGCTTAAAGTCTTAAAAAGCAACAGTGTGGAGCCAGTTTAAGAGCCCCGTCTTGGAAAGCTGTCAAAACAGGGATTGAAAAATCAGTTAAGTGCTGAGCGACCTGGAAGGAATGAAACACAATAATTACATTGTCAGCTTTAGCTTCGCTTGTGCTGCCGAAGTTTAGCATGAGCACAATAAAATCCCATCCGCCATATGTGGCATCATACAACGGCGATGACTTTGTCTGTCAAAGGCTAGGGCTGGCTCAATGGGTTGACAACACGCCCATCTCTTGCCACGTCCATCTGATGGCTCAATAGACGGCTGAACTTTAACCTTTAGGGCTTGGCCTTCACAATAAGGAGCGCCGCAGTTGTCTGGGAAGGCGAACAATGCTCTGGCACATCGCACTGCTGGAATTTTATTTTCCATTTTATAAATGAGCCACACATCCTATTTAGTTTCCTTTAGTTTTCAGCTAATGCACCGCTTAGCTCTCTGGGTTGCATTTCAACAGAAATGCAAAGTGCTTGCAAGATTTTAAGCGAATATCTGAAACAGCCTCCAGCTTGCATGGGGAAAAAGGTGTCAGTGTACAAATATACAGGCCTGTAGGGTTAGACTATCAAATACTGACACTGGAGCTGCTAAAACACGGATCATTCTGCTGATCCTCTTCTGTAAATTAAACAATCCCTTTGTTGTAGTCAGCATTTTCCCCCAGAAATACATTACCTTCCAGAATGGAAAGCATGTGAAAGACATTAACGCTGAAAGCCAGACTGTCTGATAAAACCTTTGTCAGCAGCTGGTAAATGCAGCTTGACCTAAAAAAAAAATAAAATAAAATAAAAAATCTAGAAAGAGCTTTAAAAAGTTTAGTTATGCAAAATAAAGTATAAAATCCATTGATCGAATAAAAAAAAAAGTGTTGCGTGGCCAGAAAAAATGCTTCAAAATGGGTGGAATATTAATACAATCCTGCCTTCTGCCATTTGTTTTCTTGCCTGTTCTGAAATTCAATTCAGTAAATTTTTATAGCGCCCAATCACAACAACAGTTGCCTCAAGGCACTTCATGTGAGATAAAGACCCTACAATAACATCTTTGAATCTCTTTACCACAGAGATGACATTATCTCTGCCATCATTTTACTTCAGCCTCCTGTAAAAGATACCCTTAATCTCAAGAGAGCACTTTTATCCCTGATTACATTGTAACCACTGAAAATAGACGCAAGCTGTTTTGCTTTTGAGATACCTTCAGGATAAATGCTCAATGTCAACATCTTAATTGGATTTAAAATATGAGAGTTTTGATGGTGATCGACAAAAGAGTCAATGTGCCACATTTCAATAAATTCTTCAAAAGAAAAGTAAAACCGGAGACTAGTTTAGACGTGTAAGAGCGATTGTCAAACCCTCTGTTAAAGCGGAAGTCTTTAAGCAACAAAGGTGAACGTAGTGCATCCTCGAAAAGGCTGTTTTCAAGCACTCTGGCGTGAAGACAGGACGTATTTTCTGTAGGTGGCTAATGGACCCTAATGGTCCACTCAGTCAGTGCCTTTCTCTCACACGTCCGCAGATCTGAAGGCACTCAAGAGAAAATGACAAACTGGCTGGTGGGCAGCGCTTACATGGAGTGGACTCCACTGTGCCCGTCAGCATGGATCAGTTAGCAAGTCAGTCCCCAACCAGCACACTCCAAGCCCTGAGATATGTGCGACAGAGTCGTTTCATCCCCCCATCCGAAGCCAATTCGTTCAGCCAAAGTTAACCATGGCTGTCACATCAAAAATGATCTTGTCATTTCAGTATAGATGCTGGAGGAAGCGACTTCACCTTGACGACCTGTTGGAGGAATAGAGTCTTTAAGAGGCCATTGTCAGGCTGTCAGGACTCCGAGACCCCCCTAACCACCCCCAGCCCACTAAGATGAACCAATATATTTCTATTAACACAACTATTATTCAAACTTTAGCTGTTAGTTTGAAAGACTAATGACTATTACCTGTAAATATCATTTTGTGCTACAAGTTTAGACTTTTTTGAGAAAAGAAGTATCCTCAATAGATCATGTTTAACATGACCGGCATTAGTTACTGTGTCTATAATGACAAAAAAATAAGAGATGGAGGATTAAAGAATAAAGTATAAAAGTAGTTTGTGGACTAACAACTTCAAGCATATGGCAGGAACAAAAAAAAGACAAATTAAATTATATTAGATACTATCAATCAACTTAACCGAGGATAATGTGACTAGATTTTCAGTGTTAATATCTTTTAGTGCAAATTAAGCCATTATGGAAATTTCTTGGTCTGCATTTGAAGAAGGGCGTTATTTGTGGCGTGCATAGTAGCAGAATAACATGACGAGCAGCAGTTCTTGGCATTGAGATGGACTGAAGCTGTCACCCTTGACCTCACTGAAACGTAGCTGGGTCACAGACTTGTCTGTCACCTGGCACTGTGATTTTATAGAGGATGACCTCTCTGTTCACCTCCCTTAAGGCCAACAGTGGTCACATGGTGATTAGCTAAATGGATTTCGAAGCATCTCTGGGAAAGAAGGGAGGGACGAGGGGAGCGTGTGAAAACGTCTTGATAAAGACACGTAGAGGAATGTCTTAATAATCACAGGACGTGCTCTTACGTGTGCTAATGCTAACCATTTATAACAGTGAAATAACTGAGGCTAGTGTGCAGAAATGGCTAAGCCACTACTAGAACCTATTCAGTCCCTACGCTTGTACTGCAACTACAACGTCCCATTCCACTGGATCATTTTATCCTTAGAGTACAAGTGGCCACAGATACAATTAAACCCACAGCAGTGGTTGTTTTGCTCAAGCTACACAGAGCAGAGCATGTACAGGAATTTGTGTTAATGACTTGTTAGTGTCACAACTCACACTCAAATAAAGCCAGCCCGAGGTCAATGTGACTTTACATACTTCGTAAAGGCTTAGTATGAAGAGGCAGCTATACATATCGACCTCTAACTATACATGGAGCATCCCATAGGAGCATGTATTAAAGCATAAAGGTGTACAAAATGGTTACTGCTGTTTCAGGGGCAAACACACCAAGCTATACACACTGCATAGGCTGAGTTTGTGTGAAGAAAATACAAAGATGGCGCTGACATTAAGACCAGACCTTAATGCTAAAAACACCTCCGCTGTGCTCTTTAACTGGACACTGGTGAGTACAGAACAACTCTGGGATTTGGAGAACTCAGAGATTTGTTGAACAGTTGGATTAAACATCTAAGTGCTCTGAGTGCTCAGTTTGGGATTAATTTGCTGCTAACAACAAAATTTCTCATCCATTAATCTTCATGTGTACTACACATGCTAAAAGTTGCTGTCAGGGAACCACTCCAGTCAAAGTTGGAGCGTCCTGAGGACTGGTGACAGGTGTGTGTGAATCTGTGTGTGTGTCAGAGTGGGGACAGAGAGAGGGAGACAACTGCTGTTGGTCTGCTGGGAGCAGATGTTGAAGATCTCTGTAAACTGTTAATAGCTGAAGAGTCTCATTACATTTAACTCTTTAAAGGCCAAATGTCTCTCACTGCTTCTATAGCAGTCTGACACATGATTACCCCGCTGAAAGTGGAAGATGAAATGTTAGAGTAATAGGAAATAGCTCAAATGGACACTTTCCCTCTCTTCTGTAATAAAAAACCTGTCTCAGTTGACTCTTTAACCTCACTCTTTCTCATTTTTAATTCAGCAATTATTCTGCAAGTACACTCTCAGTTAGTGTACTATGTCCTCTACATACCTACTTGTGTAGTATGTGAATTCTGACAGCCTACTGTAACACTATCTAGAAATAACGTTAACATTTAGCACAACTGTGGTGCTTTCACAAAACATAATACTAAATTCTTTAACAGTGAAGATGACAGTTTAACACGCTTATAAAAAACCCAATTGCATTTATTAACTGGGTTTAACTGCAATGCCTCGAAATGAAAAAGTTTGTTAGCTAGCTCTTAGCTAGCTAGTAATGGCTAGCTAACAACGGCGTCATTATCTGACAATATATACTTCCTTTAACTGGCTGAAAAATGTTTGTCCACGTGTACAGTGACTGTTAGGAGACACTATTCGATATTTCTAGAGCCCTCAGTGTAGCCACAGTTAGTAATTTGAGCGCTATAATACTCTGAAATTAGTGAGTTTAAGTATAGAAGTGCAGACAAAGCATTAACTTAGGGTGGCTAATGTTACTAAATGTTGGCAAACCTCATGTACATTTTTTTCTGGAACATTAGTAATGACTTGATTACATTTTAATAAATCATAATTGCTGAAATGACGGCAATTTCAGGTTAGAAAGTAACAAATTAATGCAGCTCTCCCTTACATAATTCACCACATATGTGAATGTTAGCATCTAAAACAGTCCCCCCACCATCATTTTAGGAAAGCACTGAGAAGAATGAGAAGGACAAAATAATAAGACACAGGCTGAATGACCCTCAAAAGAATTTACATCTCTGGGCATAATTTTAGAATTTATGTGCCATTAGGTTGAAGTTTATTTTGAACCAAAACACACGTTTTTACTGTTTGAATTCCGATGGTCTTACCACACCAAGTTTGTCCTTTAATTCTGCAGCTCAGGGCCATTAAGGGAAAACAAAAGTAAACCAAGCCCCGCTACTTTAAGCAGTGCCATTCCACCCGAGAGCCTAGTGTTTAGAGTGAATCCGATGACAAAACTGAGCACAACAGCTGTCTGCTGCACTGGGTTACTGTCAACACTGAGCTATCACGCGAGCATGCACGTATCTGTGAACCATTCTGATTTCAGCACAGCGGTCTGACCCTAAATTCATATTCAGCTTATCCGGAAGCTACGTTTCTGAGTGCCGGGGGTGTCCTCGACTATGGCGTGTTTCCTGACCTTTATTTACCGTGAGAAGATTCACAGAGCGTGAGTTTCTTTCAGCACTCTGCTTCACAGTCTCCCAGTTATAGACATTCACACCAGGGAACATTGCAACACCCACACTGATCTACTGATGGACACGCAGCAGGGGATTAAAATGCCTTGCTAAAAGGCACTTTGACAGTAGCTCAAACAGGGAAGAACATGAGACTCCTCCAAGCAGAATTTTTTTGGTGGTGTGTGAAGATTTGAATCTATAAATCACAGTCCTGCTCCTTTAACCTTTAGGTGTTAACATGTTATTGCTCTCACCTTGATGCCTCCCATTCTCTGCTCTCCCTTGAACTCTTTGCCATTCTTCAGCCAGTGTATGGTTGGCGGTGGGTTTCCAGACGCAGCGCAGCGGAATTTGACGGTGTTGGCTGCAGGAACGGCCAATAATTTCTTGTCCATTCGTTCTGGCCTGGTCCAATATGGCGCTTCTGTTGGGAAAACACAAAAGACTCATTGAAAACTCTTAAGACTTTTAAATATTTCCATTTCAAAGACATTAAATAGATAAGGCGGACTCACGCAATACAAAGATGCCACTTTTTTTTTCTCTAAACAGATCTGTCTACGGTTTTCCATTTACTCTTAGATCATAAAACATTTGGGGAAAGACCCTCCAGGAATTTACAGTTACATGTTTTTGTAATTGTTAAAAGACGGCACAGATGGGACAAGTTGCTCTTCTGCCCTTTTTTTTAAACGAGTGCTTCATCTTGGATGAGTTATATGCACTATACCAGAACAGATGTGGTGTCACCAGAGGTCTTCCCTCATCTAACAACACAGAGTACCTGCAGTGTTTACAGAGACTAATACACATGTACACTGTTAGGTTTCTGTGATTCATTTTCAGTCATTTTAAGCTCTTTTTTTTTGTGATTTCAAGATGTTTTTCTTGAGTAAATCATGAGGCTTTTGTTTTGATATCCCAAAGGAAGAGTTGCTTATGGATGTTTGAATGAAACCTTTTCATTTTTTACTGATAAAACAATCTTTCTTCCACGTCGGCCCTTCCCCGCTGTCCACAGAGATACAGTTAAGTTGAAGATGCGCCAGCGGTGTAAAACACAGTTTGACGGATGCTGAAAGAGCTCAAAACGGACGCATGAAGCGTCACGGGGGGACCAGACAAAACCATCTTACCATCTTTCCTCTATAACAAGATGAGGAGTTGGTCTGAATCATGAGATCTTGAGAGTTTGGAAACCTGTCAGGGCGATTTATTGAGTTGTATTGAGAAGACGGTGGACAAAGAGAGCGTAGTGAGTCAGGAAGGGCTATTGTCCATGCTGTGTGGGTGTGGAGAGTGAGAGCAACGAGGCATGGCTTGCTCACTCTCCTCTTGGTATAATCTGTGTGTGTGTGTGCTTCCCAGGACAAAAGCTGGAGAGTTGGCTGACCGGTCATCAGATGTCTCTTTTACTTTCTAAATGCAGCAGGAGAGAGTGGAGCTAATTACCATCTCAATAGCCGCGCTTGTGTGTGTGTGTGTGTGTGTGTGTGTGTGTGTGTGTGTGTGTGTGTGTGTGTGAGTGAGTCAGGCAATAGTTAAAAAGTAATTCTCACCCTCGAGCGCTGAACGGGCAAATTCCCGTCTCATCTTGGCAACTCAGGTGAGATGTCAATCACCGTTCGATATAACATCTACCTATAAATGCCTTTGATCTACTGTGTGTCTATTTATCAAATGTCTGGGGTGTTCTGATACTTTTCTGACACTTTGGCTCCTACCATCAAACTCTGGCTTCAGCTTCACAGAGTAATTGCAACCAGACTGAGAGAGACGTTCAGCGATTAAAGACACCTACCTATCTTCTTAGAAAGCAAACAAACAGGATGTTACTGAACCCTCTAAACAGACTGTGTGTGTGTGTGTCTGCTAATAAAGCACACAGACCACTGGCTGACTTAGAGACTCCCCAGCTCGCAAAGACAAACACCCTCCACGTGCAATCACACACACATACACACAGACACACACACAGCTTCCACCTTAAAAGGGAAGTGTCTGTTTGAATTCATGACTTCTCTCCCTCCATCTCTCTTTTTCTGTCTCTGGAGCGAAGTTCCACACTCCACACTGGGACAATCCTCCAAAAGCAGTCTGAACACATTGTTTTTTGGCATGGTAATCAGCCACCCTACACACACACTGACACACAGACACACACTCAGTCAAACAGAAACGCTCAGTGAGGTTTTAAACAAGTCTCTAACCCAATGTGTGGTCCTTCTCCTCATCCTCCTCCTTCCCCTGCTGCTGCTGCTGTGGGTCCTGAACTCATCTGGGCCTGAAAACATATTCCTGCTGCTGATCCTTCAGCCACAATGACGCTTATAACCCAAAATAGATGCTTAGGTGGATTCACAGGACGGACTAAAGGAGTCTCTGTGGTTTTGTCACCATAACACACGAAGGTTGTTTTATTCGCGGACCTTCAGCTGCTCTGACTGACGCTCTCTGTGGAATCAGGAGATCAGCCGTCAGTCAGGCAGTCTGGATGAAGCTTTTGAAATCTTCTCGTAATTTGTTGCCCATTGTTGTACTTGTCGCTCATGCGGGCAAGTCTCCTCTCATTCAACGTGTTCCAGATGTAACAATCGCCTCCTGTGAACCATTAAGCGAATTAGTAGCTTGCCGAAACAAATGTTTATTCCACGTGAAATTATGCCGTGATTAAGCGGGGACGGTGATTTGACAGTTTAAAAAAAAATCATTTTTAATCGCGTGACTGAAAAGCTTTCTTTCTGGTGCTTCAAAAATACGATATGCTGGCTCTGCCGATTCTTAAAACAGCTTACTTTTCAGAGAGCTGATGCAGACACTTTCCACCAGAAGGAAAAAAGTGAAAGAGCCGCAGCCTTTTCCAGTTCAGAAAAAGCCGTCGATATTTTGATTTCAGCATGCTTTTGATTTACTGCGCAGCCTTGCTCTGTATGCTCAGCAACACGCAGGAATCCCATCCCGTGTCTAATTGGCAGGATGGTATTTCCTCAGCAGCAGAGGGGAGTGGGATTTTCTGGGAGGGAGGCGAGGAGGCACGGAGGAGGGGAGGGCTGGCACCCCTCAACCCCTCGCAGAGGGGGGTTAGAAGGGACTCGACAGATAACCCTGCCCTGCACGGATATGCAGTCGCTGTAGTGGAAACTGGTTTACAATAACATCTTAGCACAACTCAGCAGCTACAGTGTCATGCCCACCTGTCAGACACGGAGGCTAACTGCGAGGGGAATCTCTCTGGGAGCCTATAAATACACGAGCGTGATCCGCTTTGCTTGCTTCATGTTTGATAACAGATTTCAAAGTGTGGCTGGAGAAATCCCACCAACACAGACGGGGTAGAGATCAGTCAAGGGGGTTGTTTCTGCAGGCACACAAAGTGTCACATTGTCAGCAGGTATATTCTTCCCCATTGCGGCTGCAGCCCTTAAGGTAAGACTCAAACTCAGTGATATGGTGCAAAATATTGTGCAAAAAGCACAAACTAACATAGGAAGACCGTCCACTTTTTGGTCTGGAGCTGGGATTTCCCCTATTATTATTATTATTATTATTATGTTGTTTTTCTAATTAGGGTGGATATGGTGACCTAGAATCCTCCCTGAAGTTACGCTGCAATAGGCCTAGGCTGCTTCTCATGATGCTGTGAGTCTCCTTCACTCACCTGTTTTCCACTCACTTTGTGTTTATACACTGCTCTACATTTCATTATTAGTCATTAATGTCTGTCTCACCCCCAACCATTCCCCATGCCCCTCGATGGGCCTGGTTCTGTTGCAGGTTCCTTCCTGCTAAAAGCAAGTTTTTCCTTCCCACTGTCGCCAAGTGCCTGCTCATAGGGGTTCCTATGATTGTTGGGGTCTACAATATAAAGCGCCTAAAGAAAACTGAACTGAATTGGAATTTTCAAGAGTTTCTCATAAACTTCTTAGTGCGCTCACGTCTTTCTGGCTCATGGATCTGTGCTGCAGGTTGGAGAAGCATGACTGTGGCTCCTCTATCAGCTATGTTGAGTACAACAGCAATTAGCTGGAGCACGACACAGTGCAGTGCTGATCGCCACGGCACAAGCCTCTTCAGCGCTCAGACACCGATCTGGGAAAAAAAAGGGGGGTCTAATTGTGTAATTGTATAATTTGCCCTCACTGACGCCTGCGAGCACACAGGCAGATTTCATTACAGATTACACTGGGGCTCTTTGAAGGCACACTGCCCTGGAGGGCCTGCGGGGACTCAAGGCAAACAGAGCAGGAGGAATGGCGGCTGTGGAGCAGCGTAGCGTGGCCCGGCGTCCAGCTCTCTGCTCTCCTGCCAGGGTAAACAAGGAGGCTGCATAGCTCAGGAGCACAGCACAGCACAGATTAACCCTCCCACCCTCGCTCACATACACGCTGCCCTTTTAGTTCGCACAGGCTCCAAGTGTGTTCGCTGCTTTCCATGCTGCAAAAAATACTCACACACTCAATTCGCATTCATCGTGTGAGGGCGGACGGCTGTTCAAAAATTGCTCACTTTGTATTTGCCCATCTGTCAGCGCAGCATCTTCAGGGCACTCCATTTTAAAATGTTTTTTCAAGTTTTTACGCATATTTTGAGAGATCAAACGTCAGGTCTGAGAGATTCGAGTGGTAGGTTCTTGCGCACTCATTGCTGAAGTTGGCATCGCTCTGGTCACTTTACACAAGTTTTGTGACTGCAAAAATAGTCCACAGACAGCAAAGTCCTTGAAAGCACCTTGGCTCTAATTCCAACAGTTTTCTTTAGGGCCACGCTCTAAAGATCATGTAGGTCATCATACAGGTAGGGCCTCTTCCTCCCCACTTCAAGCGCTCTTAACTCGTGGGTCGGACCGCACTCGTCCTTGAATGCAACCTTCAGCTTGTTCTCAAATCCACCTGCAAAACTGCGTGACTACATCCACATCTTATTGAGAAAACCTCTCATACGAGCACCTGGCAAATGAATCAAGACTGTCTCTGTGTTGGTTTCTGCTAAATTTGTGTCTCCAAGACCATAAAATTGCAAAGATGACAAACACAGAAATACATGTTGAAAACAATGCACACCACGCTGTTTCAGCTGCAAAGGTACCGCTAATTAATTTGGACATGTGTTGCACAGAGGAGGCCACCTGTTTCCCTGACACCTTTGTTCACTCTCAATATCTCAAAATGCTGCTGAGGCTAACAAAAGAAGCCTACCGACAGCAACAATGCAACTCTCATTGATGAATAATTACTCAGTAAATATTTTAGTTCCCCAGCTGGAAACTTTTTCTTAAAGTGGTCAGGTTAATGCTGCCTGCTTTCCTTGTTTCCTGCGCCCTCTCTTCTCATTAATACCCCGACATTTTCACCATCTCCACATATCTGTTATCGTCTGCTCAGCTTGTAGATGTGGATCTTCTTTCGGGGACTCTGTCTGGTTGTGTGGTTTGTCACATGGCTCCTTCCTGCTACAGCTGGCTAATTAGCATTGGCTTTGCGGACATTAAGCGGCGATAGGGGTTTAAAGTTTCTGGGCTAATCCCTCTGCTTTTGGTCAGGAAATCAGAGCCTTATATGTCATGAGGTAGACTTACTTTAAGAGATTAAGTCTGGCAGTCTGAGGCTATTTACCGGTATTCAGGATGTCTGCCGTAAGCTGTTACCGCCTCTGCCACTTCGGCCCGTTTAGAAAAAACACACTGCAGGCTTTCACTGCGACGTGAAGCTGTGCATTCAGAGATTTTACGCTGAAGCTGTTAGCAAGCTTTTCCAAAGCGGCCTGCACTACAAAGACCGCATCGGGAAGTTTTCTTTAAGAAAACGTATTTATTTTGTTCATTTTTTCTATCTCTCTGGATAAAAGCAATCAATTAAATCAATTCTAATTTAAGTCGAACTGAATCAAGTCTGAAAGATTAAAAGTCAAACATGAAAACGAAGCAATATTAGGTTTGAGTCTCTCACACATATTGAGTAGATTGAATAGTTTAAATGTTGATATTGACAGAAGTAAAACATTTGTAAGCTGACCTCAGATCAAACATTTAGAAACTGGTATAAGATGCAACTAAGTTCCCCAGGCAGAAGCCTATGGATAATGATTAAATGAGCACCATCTTAATTCCAGATCACTTTAAAAAGCATTATTCTTATTCTTATTTATTTTTTGGACACACCTAGTTGCTGTTGGTTCTGGAGTGGCCACATTTATATTTCTGTGGAATAGCTTTGCTTGTTTTTCACATGATTTTAGAAAATTTAAAATTTCTTGTTTCTCTTGAACACCAGTTCATCTCCCCTTCCCGATCCATCTCTCGCCATGCAATCGTTGTAGCTGGATAACAAACGATTGGGTGAACTGTTAATGATGACCACGGGGCACTGAGAGTTTCAGGAGCGGCAGTATCTCCCACAATCATTGCCTCAGCTTCAGTTTTATTTTAGTTTGAGCTGAGTGTGACGACGTTTGATTTGGTTGGATCTTTGTAGCGACTTTCACAAAGGGGCTTTGATTTCGGCTGGGCGTGCGCCTGTCGCTCTGTCACTGAAGCAGTTGCGCATTTTGCTTTTGGCACCAATTTTGTTGAGTGGTTAAGGGTGGACTGGGAGTTGGTTCAACATATCATGGTCTGTTTGACATCGTTAGCATGTTTTGGGCTGGTTTTCACTTTTATACAGTCTGCTGACTCCCCCTTTTTTCGTCTCTGCATCCTACACTCTATCTTTTACCCTTCACTTATATCCCATTGTCTTCCCTTTATTACTGTAGTTCCATCAACTCTTTCCTCTCACTTTTTAGATTCGTCTCTGACTGTCAGCACCTCACCTTCTGCTGTCTCGCTCCGTATGGTACAACAAAGGCAGCACAGTGTGGCGTCTGGCTGGTCGAGAGCTTGCCGAGAGGGGTGGAGGTGCTTTCTGTCTCTCTGGAGTCATGCTAGCTGACAGAATAGAGCGTGTAAAGTGTGTGCAGCCAGTGAAAGCCATCCCTCCTCGTTCTTTGTTCACCTACACCTGAACTCCGCAGGTCTCTGAATGCCAAAACAGCTCACATCACAAAAGAGCAGTGAGAGGGGCTGTTACCTGCTGGAGAAACAGCAGCCTTTGATCTGTGCGACAGTGGCATTTAGTTTTGTGCTTGTGGGGGAAGGTTTAATGCGAGCGATTATAAGAGCCATATAATGTCAATTACAGATATACAACTCTGATTACGCTCATACAAGTCTAATCGCCTGCATAAATCCATTTGTAGTCACACAGTGGCCCATAAAAGCAACTTTGTGGGGATGTGCTGTTGCTCCTGCAGATGAACTCTTTTATCACTATGACAAATGAAATGAGTTTAAATTGTAAACTGCACATTAACTTCTGAGGATAAAGGTGCAAGTGTGGTGTAAATAATATGAAGAGCTCATTTATGTACGACATAGGGAATTTATAACTTTATAAATATCTGACACAGGACCTTAAAGATGCATTTGGCCCTTCAGTTCCTCCAAGCCTCATCAGAAATGGTGTTGATTTCTGATGCCATTTTTGGTTGCTGGGGGATTTCCATGATGCATTGAGTATTTCTTCTTTAGTCACCTTTCTCACTCACTATGTGCTAATAGACCTCTCTGCATTGAATCACACTTGTTATTAATCTCTGGCTCTCTTCCACAGCATGTCTTTCATCCTGTCTTCCTTCTCTTCTCTCTTCCTTCTCTCTCTCAATGAGCCTGGTTCTGCTGGAGGTTTCTTCCTGTTAAAAGGGAGTTTTTCCTTCCCACTGTCGCCAAAGTGCTTGTTCAAAGGGGGTCATTTGATTGTTGGGTTTATCTCTGTATGTATTATTGTAGGGTCTACCTTACAATATAAAGTGCCTTGAGGCGACTGTTGTTGTGATTTGGCGCTGTATAAATAAAATTGAATAAAATTGAATTTTTATGGAAGGAAACAGAGGAAAAAACTGAGGTATGGCAAATTACACAAGAACTTTACTGGCAGTCGGTGGCAACAGGTCTCATGGTGTGACGAATCCAAATTTAAAACTTTTCGGTTCAAATTTACATCATATATATGGAGCAGGTGAGGACAGAGGGATAACAATGAATGTGTAGAGCTAAAGCACGGTGGAGGCTCTGTCATGTTTGGGGCTGCATTTCAACCAGTGCTGTTGGAGATCTTATCAAAATTGATGGAGCTTTAAAAGCAGAAAAGTACCATCAGGTTTTGACCCACCATGCAGTTATTGATCTCAGCATTACTGAAGCAGTGTGGAATCATCTTTACACAGAACAGACAGAGCGTTCTCACTCCCGAGGCGTAACATGTCGACGTTTTGTCTCGTCCCGCGGCGTTCCTGAGGAACGCGAAAGGAGACCTTCGGCGTTCTTATGGTACGCGGCGGGTTATGGCTGGAATCCAGTGCAATGACGCTCCCGCGGTAATAGACGTTCCAGCCCTGTATTCCAGCCTTAAACCTAACCTTATCCCTAGCCCTGACCATAACCTTATTCCTGACCTTAACCAGGACTTTAATGATGTTAAATAGCGTGTTTCTAAGCGATTTGAAGAAAAAGAGCGAACATGTGTAGATTCAGTCCAGACGGTTCTCATATTTCCTCTTTTTTCCGAGGTCGTCATTTAGGAACGTGGTGGGTAGCCGAAAACGTAATATGGTGACGATTTGTCACCTAGCGTAAAATGTTACGCTTTGGGAGTGAGAACGGGTTGGAACAGAACAAACCAAGGAACCTTGAAGAACCTTAAATGTCCTTGAAGAACCCTGGAGAACTATTTATGAAGACTGCTTAAAGAAAGCTTGACTAAGAGAGTTCAATCGGCATTGCAGAGTAAAGGTGTTCATAATAAATATTGACTTAAGCTATCATTCTACAAACTCTATTGTTGGCCTATGTTCTGTGTTTCCACATATGTTTGAACATGTTTCTAGAAATCGCTGTACCCATTTACCTATTTCCTTGCAAACTATAAAGAGATGAGGACTGGTTCAACACTCTTGCACAATACTGCATTTCCTGATGAGAGACGTATCATACTTTCTGATTGTGAAATGTGGTTTAAGAAAAGAATTCACCATTTTCATTACCTGCACCTTCAGGGTCTTCATCATAATCTTCATCATCACCAGACGACAGAGAATCTGACGAAAGAAAATACAAAAAAAAAAGAGTTTAATTAATTATTAATTTATGGCTGGAATGAAATTATTTCATTTAAAATAATATAAATGAGCAATAACTCATTTTAAAAAATACAGCAGTTATATGAGAAAACACATAATACAGTGTATTTTCTTATACAACTCCTTGAACTATTTTGCATTTTGGATAAGAAGGAAATTACATGTGGAAAGTTTGTAGACCAGAATGTATTTTATGCAACAAGAGGGAGATAAAGGGAAAAGGGGTGTTCACAACCAAGCACGAATAGACAAACAAGCACAAAGACACACACACAAACACACACACACACACACACACACACACACACACACACACACACACACACACACACACAGATGCATGAATGCATATTAAAGCTGTTCATTCAGAAACTCATGAATGAGCCCACAGTTCTCTGTAGCGTGGCAGCTCTCTCAGATATTGCAATCCAAACATTTCCACAGACGGTACAAATAAGAGGGTCATTAGTGTCGCTGAGACGCACTTGCACAAGAGTGTGCGCGCATGTGCTGATACACGCACAAAAACTATTCTTTCTAGCTATCTCTGCAACACACACTGGCCCTAACTCTTGCTAACGGTTAGCGCGCCGGTTTACGCCAAATTACTTTCCATCTTGCTCTCCATCTTGTTTAGGTTTGCTGTATCACACGTTTTCACTCCGCTGCTGTAATTACTTTCGATGTGACCTCAACGCTTTCTGGTTCAGCTCCACGGGTCTGGTTAATGAGAGCCAGCTGTTACCTCGACAACTCAAACTGCTCCTGGAACTAGCAGGTTTTGTTTCTATTATTGGACACCTCAGCCCACAACTCCACTCTGCTAGTGCTTTGCACCTTAGAAGCAAGGCAGCAGTTACAGTTGACTGACGGATCAGACGGGTGCCAGCACTGTATCAGTAAACCAAGTATTTAACACACTATAGTGGTTGTCAAAATGAATGACATAATAGAAAACTTTGGAATAAAAGAGAGAAATAATAGAGAAAAGCAGGCACATGTATTTTAGTGCACTGATAAAGCTCTAAATCCTTCCGGCTCAATAGATGAAAGGATTAGTTTAGCTTTAGCATACAGTTAGGATACAGTGTAGCCATAGACTGGACATAAAGGATGGACGTAACCACCTTAAACATTTTGACAGCTGCCATCTTGTTATCTGTGGAATCAGACATCACGTGAAAAGGTTGACCGACAAAGTAGCCACATCGTAAATCCCAGTTTATTGTCTATTTTACTGTATTTGGATCGATTTTGTTAACGCTATATTAAACAGCACTTGAAACAAGTGATGGAGTCCATAAACTCGTAAGAGTTTAAACCATTTAATCATTAGTCATAAGTCTTTTGTCATGCCCATCACCCCCAACGGTCGCAGCAGTTGCTGCCTGTGTCTGAGCCTGGTTCTGCTGGAGGTTTCTTCCTGTTAAAAGGGTTTTTCCTTCCCACTTTCGCCAAGTGCCTACTCATTGGTGGTTACCAGATTCTTGGGGTTTTCTGTGTATTATTGTAGGGTCTTTAGCTTGCAGTATAAATCACCTTGAGGCAACTCTTATTGTGATTTAGCGCTTTATAAATAAAACTGAATTTTTGTCAATAAGTAATTCACGCACTCCTTTGTACAAACCTCAGTTTGTAGTTGTACTTGTTGCATGTGTGCTGTGTGTGTACAGTGAGATTTGGCCCCTTTCTGCTGCCTGGAAGCTGTCCAAGTGCTAAATCTGATACCGCCCCTAAATTTCTGACACCTTGCTCAAATATTTGAGGGAAAACACAATAGTCCATGTGTGTTTTAGATAAAACGGAGGCTCTATGTTTAAAGTAGAGGGAGGAGAATCGGCGGTATAAGAGGGGGGAAAAACAGGATACTGAAACGCATACTGGAAGAAGTCTGGCTTCTTGAGTAATTTAAACATGCACGGAGAGCCGAAACAATATGAAATGTCAGACATTAGTGTGAAATGAACTGGCAGCCTGTGCAACACCTGAGACATGTTAAGTGGAGGTGGAACCAGCTTCAGTTATCTCTATTTATCAACTTCTTCATAAAAAAAGTCAGATTTTAAAGGAGAACGCCTCTTATTCTTCCTTTTAAGCCACTGATGAAGGCACTGTGTTTGCACAGTGTCCTGGTGTGCAGTTTGGAGCTGATACGAAGATCCGGGACGAGAACCTGCCCACCTCTGATCAGTAATCGAAAATGCCCATTTTCTTCCCAGTTTTCTGCCAAACAAATGCATCCGTGTGTGTGTGTGTGTGTGTGTGTGTGTGTGTGTGTG